GCTCTCGGTGAGGGTATTCCTCTGCTGGCACACACAAAGAAATTGAAAAATGCTACGGAATGAATCAAAGTGAAAAACGAATGTTCGAGTCGGAGCCACAGAGCAGCAGACATGAGGGACTCCGTTCAGCTCAGCTCCCGATGTGCGATGTGTGATGTGTGTACTGCGTCCGCCTAACGAGCGAATCGTGTTCAATAAATATTTACCAGTCAGTCGGAGGAGCACGGAATCCGTCTGAAATGCGGGCGGGCGGAAGGTGGTGAGGAGTGGGTGTTTGGAGGTGGTAGGCGGAAGGTGGAAGGCGGAAGGGGAAACTCTGCTGAGACGCTCTATGCGGGCAGGTGCCCAAATCGCGAACACTCTCCAAAAAGTCGAGTAACTTCGATGATTTGGTTTCCGATTTCCACTCCATTTTGTGCCACTTTCGTGCAACTATAGTTTTCTAAGGCAGTCTAGGCAGTTTAAACCACAAACTTAAAGAACAACCTCCAAACCAACTCTCTGATCTGAATTTAACTGGATTAACTCTTCTGATTCCTCATAACTTTTTCTCCCAGTTGACTGACTTGTTCGAGCCCGTGGTGAATCCCGAGCCGTCCATCAGCTGCTTGCTTGGCTAATACCGCGTCGGCAGGGCCTTTGCATCTCTGCATCTATTCGGATTCGCGTCAATGAAATATTCATTCATTTGCAGCTCACTCCGGAGAATTGGTTCATGATGTTCTCCGCTGATACTCTAGCTCCAGGACCCCTGAATCTGCTCCTGAAGCTGATTCGGAATCTGAATCTGGTGCTGACTCTGTTTTCGCCGCTGCTGGCGCTGCTCCACCCCACCTCATGCCTCGATTTATGAGCGCCCAGTGTGTGCTTTAATAGTTCGCAGCTGAATTAATTGGCCGCTGCGCCAGAGGCGCAAGATGAGCCGGCGATAGATGCGGCGCATATATTTACCATATATCTCGCACTTGCCATTAAAATAATTTAATCAAAATGTTGTTCAACCCAGTGCAGCCCACAAGGCGCTGAGGTTCCGATAAAGGCGGATGGCTGTCTGGGAGATATATCTTTATAGAGCACATGTGCCGCCTGTCTTCGCTTGTTTGGCTATAAGTGCGAGCTCCTGGGTGGGGAGCATAAATTTTAATCAATTCCCCGCTTACTTTTGCTATCTTTTGGCCGCACTTCGCCTTCTTATTTTATTTACTGCTTAGAGTGTGCCATTCTCGAAGTGTTATGCACTTTCCCTTTTGGGCGAAAATTGGGAAGCTCACACTCACTTGGTGTTACCCTCAAAAAAGATCGTTCAGGTTAATGTAGCTAATTATGAATGTGATTTAAAGAGCGAAGAATATAAATATTTATCATGAATAAAAAAAGATCTTAGTGGTTTAAGCATTTGTTCCTTAAATTATTAATAACTAAATAGCAATCTTTATCTTAATGTGATTTAAGTAACTTTTAATCTGCATTCATTATAGCACCACTACTAATTTTTGAAATAAATTTAAAATATTTTATTTTGCATTTAAGAAAGCGCATTCATTTTTCACTTAAGACTAGCACATTATTGTGTACTTTTTACTGCGGCAAACTGCAGATTTCGCTGATTGTAACGAAGGCAGATTAAAACTTATGCACACACTCAGCGCAAGAAGATACTTTTCTGGGTCCTGAGCCCCGAACTCAGAACCTCAGAACCGGGGACTGCGACTTAGAGCGGGCCGTAATGTGAGCTCCGCTAGTTTTATGGCAGATAGACGGCAAATGGGTTACGGCAACACCCGGCCCAGTGACAATAAAAAATGTAACTAACCGCCGCTGCCCCGGTCGAGGCATTGTAAATGCTTTATGAGTCTTCGGAGTGCCATAATTTTCACTTAATAATCCGTTGAGTAGCTGCCCGTGATTTGTGGCCATCCCGATTCGACCCGATTCTCCGGGAATGCTGCAAAACAGTACAGAACACACCAGGACAGAACAAACCAGGACAGGACGACCAGGACAGGAAAATAAAACAACGGCGCCGAACAGCAGTGTAATGAGCTGCGGGAGCGGTGGCCAAAACAATTTGAAAGTTTTTGCCAAAACATAATGTGTGGCTAATTTTATTTGTCGCCAATTGGGAGCGATGCCGCCGTCCGCTTGACACACTAATTTATAGTGAGCCAGAGCGTCCGGACCACCTGCTCCCGGCGTTGTGTATCGTATCGCTATTAGATACGGATACCCATCCGCCTTTCTGGGCCCCAGTCAGCAGGTCCCTGCGAAATATGGCAAAATAATAATGCACAGCCAGCACCCTCGCCGAGCACAAAAAATATTTAATGACCAAATTGCACATGAAATTGCGCGCATAAACTAATTACCGCGGATAAAGTTTAACAAAGGGAGCGCCATCCAGAAACGGTTTCCGTACGGTGTGGTGTTTCTATGCACTGGGAAAATTGGGAGGCGAATTTCATCCTCTATAAGTATTCAAATATATTTAACCGATTTTTAACTGTTTACTTTAGTTATTAATTCAAAAGGATAAGTGGTACGTTGTTTGTGAGAGCTGTAAGCTTGTATTTTGGATCGCCGTTATATTTTTGATGAACAATTATTAAATTTCTTGTTAAAAAATAGTGAGGGGAGATATAAAGTACGATAGGCAAAATTGTTTCTCTGCAAAGTCATTCCTTTATATGGCTTAAAGAAAGTTTCAATTAAGGGAGTGTAAGACCTAAGATCTCTATCAGTTATTGCGACAAATTAACTTCATTTTTCCCAGTGCACTGTTCAGTTCCGGCTCCAGCTTAACTGCCTGGCGAGCAGCTGCCGTAATGTGGCACAGCGGATCCCGACTCGAGCGCAGAGTCCTGCGAATCGACTGCCATCCCGCTGCTTTTGGCCACTCACATGACGTTGCCACCGTTTGTCAGCATTACCGGTATTTACAATATATATTTTAATATTTTCGGGGGCCCCGCACTCCAGCCAAGCGAGCCCCATGCTCCACTTCGAATCCCTCCGTGTTGTGTGTGTGTTACTGTGCCAAATTGTTTATGAAAAATTGCGTATGACGACGCCGCTGTTGGCCCATAAATCAAGCCGCCTCGGTCGAGGATTTGGGCCAGCAGCTCGACGGTGGCTCCGCTCGGTAATTACAATGTAGCCGCCTGTGAATTTAACGATTGGGGTGCTCGGGTGCCGGAAACCCAGCAATCCCAGTAACTCCCCAAGGAAAGGGTTTTCCTTCGGTCAGTTCGGTTGGTCAGCGGGTTGTCGGCTGTGCGTTGGAGGGCGGCATGTTAACAAAAGTGTGAGCCAAGTGGAAAATAACATTAAAAAGGGCCATAACAGTAACTAACAAAGACACCAGAAGCAAATGGCAATGCCGAATGGCTGGCTAACTGGCCGAAAGGCCAGAACGCAGACGGCTCTTTCGGCCCGCTCTCCACTCGATTTTCCCTTTTCCCAGCTCGACCAGGAGCAGGCCGGCAAAAATTAAATGGCGCGAGAAAATTGCATGGTCGGTGCGGTGCAAAAAGAGAAAAGCCGGTTTACATAATTGCCCCTAGCCAAAAGACACACTCGGATAAAAATTCTTAATTCAATTCTAAATATGTAAGGAACAGAAAAGCAATACAAAAAATGAGAAAAGCTAGAAAGGGTTATATAAAGATAGGGATTGTGATTAACACAACTAACAGCAAGGCTCAAAATTAAACTGCATTATGGCGAAGCAATATACTAGTTTTAACTGCGAACTTTAGTGTTTAATGGTCAGTGAATTTCGTAAATTTCCACTTGCCTAGATAAAATAAATCATTCAATTTCAAAACCATTTCCATTTACAAAGTATAGCCTACTTTCTGTTAAACTGTTCTATTCATTAAATATTTTCTAGAACCTTCAAGTATTTCTTCCAGTGCTAATTCAGCAGAATAGATGCATGGCCAGAGGCTGAGGACCGGAGTGGAAAGCAATCATTGCTACAGAGTTCATGTGCATGTGCGCCCAGACCCTCTATAACATTTAACTATTTCCTGATATATATACTCTTTGTCTTGGCCAGCTCTGCGGTGGCATAGTTTTGGCTGCTGCTTTGCTTTAGTTGGGCAGTAAGTCACTTCCACAGAAGGCAGAAGAGCAATGGTCCGGGTGATGTGGTAATAAAAGGTCATTTTGGGCCAGCGATCATAACAGAAGCAATCACAAGAAGTTGGGGTTCGGAAATTATTTATGTGAAAAGTTACAAGTTAAAATGGCATTAGGAATAGCAAACAGTTAAATGTATTATTTTCTAAAATTCTTACTGCTTTTACTAATTTTCTTATTAACGTATAAATCTACAAAACTATCTGAAAAGGTCAATAAATAATATAATAATATTATTAATTATATTATTATATAAATGTATTAAAGAAGTTTTAAGTCTATAATTTTTTTAAGAAAGTATTTTATTTTATTTAATCTTTAATTCTAGCAAAGCTTGAAATCTAACGTTTATAGAGATACAGTCTTAAGACAGTAAAGTTTTAGGAAATTAAAAAAAAACTTTGATCGTATTTTTTGATAATAAAGAGTTTGAAGTTTTTAGGTATTCGTTGTTTAAACATCCTTTAAAGTTTTAAACAGTGCGTTTTATTTAATTTTTTTTTGATGCGACTTTAGCCCTAATGTACAATCATCCAAAAAGTATGCAAAGCAATCAACAAATATCCAAATTAATTTTAAGCCCCGCTAAACATTCAAGAGGCCTGCAGCATTTAATATTACTCAAAATCGGTATTAGGCTTTGCATACTTTGCGGTTCAATTGCAAATTAATGAAAAATTAAAGTGCTTAACTGTAGTTTAATTGCATATAAAATATATGTTGTGCACTTCACCCTATTTGTTTGCCTGTAAATATTGGTCAGTTCCTGGTAAAATGTTTTCTCGGCTCGGCAGACCACCCAGAAAATTTATTATCCCCACTTTGGAATGCAGAGGAAGTGATGAAGACACAATGCCATCTTCGTTGACTTACTATTTATTGCTGAATTTATATATAAGATGATTGTTACACTATCTTACAAATGGTTGACTTATATATAAGTTATTATCTATTAGAATTTATTTTCTTGTTTAGTTTCTTAAGGAAAATTTATACTGACTAACATTTTGGAGCTGATAGAGTTACAATTCAATTTACAAGGCGGAAAAAAAGGGTGAAGCGAATTGCATTTACACCTTAGCAAGCCAAAAGAAAAAGTATTTGAAAATGTTCAATGCCAATATGTATAAAGTAAGCTTAACTTAACCCTTAACTTTGCTGTTTTATCAATGAGCATTGGACATTCCTGGGTCGAAGAATATAAAATGGGAGAGGATGTTTGGCTAAGAACTAAAGTGGCAGAATCGATTAGTATTTAGGATGTAATGTTTTAGAAAATTGAGTATCCCATATGTCCCTCCCGCGAATGAAAACACAATGCCCTTTAACTTGTAACTATTTACTACTTAGGTCTAGGATATTCCGAGTGTTGGTAGGGCGACTTAGACTAACTGGGCTTACGACTACCGCGACTCCTCAACAGCTGTGGCACTTGACCAGGCCCACCTCGTCGCAGTTCATGCACTTGAGGGCCACGAACTCGGCGGTGAAGTGGTTGCGGTGCACGGACTTCTTGGAGCCGTTGCAGGAGGGGCAGGGCAGCAGGCGGTAGCCGCCGCAGGTCTGGCAGGTGAAGGTGCTGGCCATAGACTTGTAGGGCTTGAGCAGCTGTCGCAGCTCGCCGGACTCGTTCAGCCGCTCGACGGTCTCGGCGTCCCCGATGTGCTGACCCTCCACGTACAATTGGGGAACCCGCACTTGGCCGCTCTGCATCCGCTGGCGCATCTCCGCCTGGTACTCCACGCTCATGAACACGTCCCGCTCCTCGAACTTGACCAGCAGGGTGCGCAGGATCTGCTTCACGTTGGCGCACTTCGTGTACGTCTCCCGGATGATGCCCATGCTGGTGGTGTACAGCACCACCTTGCCGAGGTCTTTCTCCTTGAAGTTCTGTGGGGGAAGAGAGTGGGGGAAAAAGCAGATCGCAGATTAGTTGAGTTCTGGTTTTAGCGGGTCTGAAAGCAGGCCACCGAAAACTGGAAATCGGCGCGCCATTCGCCACAGAGCGCGGATTCAAAGTCAGTCATGGTCAGGCAGAATGGCAATGCCAAATTGGGTCTCCGCCGGCCGAGGATGAAGGCCAACCGCAGACAAAAGGCGACGCGGAAGCCGCTGAGCAGGCGTAACACCGAATCTTTTCAGAGTTCGGCGTCTGCGACACTGCTCGACTTTGTTGTCCGATCTAATTTTATATCTTATTTATAAATAAAGTCTTACTCAAGTTGTTTTTAAAATAGAAGACGCTTTTCAGATCACAAATGGTTTTTGTTGATACGGATCATAAATGTCTTAAGCTGGCTGACTATATTTTTAATTAATGGATGTACTTTAAGTAAACAACCAGTTATGTTTATGTTATGAAACCTCAGTGAAGTTGTTCTTAAAAACGAACTAAACATATCATACAATAGGTCTCTAAACAGTTGTTGCTGATCATTGAGCTTTGAAAGTCAATTGAAACTTTTTCTTTTACAGATTGTTGTAATATATGTAATGCAACTTGTTTCTTTCCTTTTTAAGCACCGTCAATAGATAATTTATCTTGTCAAAACTCAGCAGCAACTAAGTTTTTCGATTCGTTTGACGTTTATTTCCTTTTAATTGGATTATTTATCATTATAGCTTGTATAAAATTGAAAAAATAGTCGTGTCGTTTCGGTAAAACCCGTTATGAAACGTAGTAATTGAAATTAATGATAAAATTTGGCAATGTCTTTAATTTTAATACGGTTTGGCAAGTGCTCTTTTTATCTTTGAGTGCCTCACAGCTTTTAAAGCATTACCAAGCTAGAATCAGGTCTGGGCCATAAAGCAAAGAGCTGGAATTCGGGTGCTGAAAACTGGTTGGAAATTGCATCTCGATCTGCGGCGATGGTGGAAAACCGCGGCCACTCTCCGCCGGGACCCTGAGTTCATTAGCTCGCGGCTTGAAGTCACGTAACCGGGCAACTCTAACTCTGCATGTCACTCAAAATCCTATTAATCAATACAATTAAGCAATAATAGGAAAACTGCTAGGCAATCGACGTGGCCAACAACCAGAGTCCGAGTGAGACGGCGGCACAATGGAAACCTGGAATGTTTTCCCGACAATTTATGATGTCTTATTTTGTAAGTCCGAACCGGTTAGCAGCTGGGGTTCGCTCGCTTCATTTGACAATTAACATTTCCGTTAGTTGGCCAACTTTGGTGGCGTCTGCTTTGGCTAATGAACCGATCCGAACCGAACCGAACCGATCTGATCCCGGTTCCCCCACCTGCGAAACACCTCAGGTATCAATGAACCGTGCAGATGCATTTTCTACACAGCAAGAAAATGTACGACTTATGTACATTTATTTTAGTCACGTGCTCTACGGACCACAAAACATAGAGTGAACTTAAAACTTTGAATATAGAGAAAACAACATTTTCAAATAAATACTTGAAACAATTTGATTTATTACCTTTCTGGTACCGTTTAAATTCTTTTATTGTTATTGTTCTCTGTTAAGCTTGAGCATTTGGGAACAAAAAAACAAGACTGTTTGGCTGCATATTATATAAAGAGCTTTCCATAAAACAATAACATTGTTTCCACAATAATGGGCTTGATTCGACCAAAAAAAAAGGTTTGGTTAAGAAAAACAAATTTGGAACAGAAATGCAAGCAGGCTGCATTCCATTTGCATTTTATGAAACTCTTGAAAACAATCAAATGCTTTGTTTATTATTATTAATAGCTGAATGATATCGAGGTATGCAACATAATGTTATAATGGGGATTCGGTACTCTCCGTGTATGGGATGGAAGCCTCTTGAAACCGGTGAGACGAGAATTTGCATGGCAATAGAAAATTAATAAGCTGGCGGAGGCGGGGAAATGGAAAATGCACACAGAGTGAGAGACGGCATTCCGAAAGAGATGCAGCTGCAAGTGCCGTTGTCGTCGATAAACAACAAAAGCGAGAAAAATATTTCACGACAAAGCTGAAAACTGAAGACTGAAGACTGGAGAAAAAGTTCAAAGCCACGCAGCACGAACCAAATCGACAATAAACAAGCTAGTGAGCAAACAACAAGCGAGCTGCGGTCAAATGGAAAGTCAACTCCAGCTCTAAGTGAACGTTGCCGAGCTGTTTTTCCAATTCAATTCCCCGATTGTCTTGACAAAAAGAAAAGAAAAGAAAACCCCGCAGCGGGGCTAATAAGCCACCTCATCCGTCAGTGGTTCAATGTCAGCTCGAGCTGATAATTTGCATTGCCGAAAAACATAAACACGGCGGCAATTAACAATTACCACACGTGATTTGCACGGTTGACCTCGGCGCGACTTTTGTCACAGCAGCAACATCAGCAACAGCAACGGCAACAGCAACAACAGCAACAACAGCAGCAACATCTACAGCAGCAACATCACAAAGTCGCAGCAGCAACTGCTACATATAAGTGGACAAAAGAGAAAGCAGGTCACTTGTATGGCCAAGAGCCAGTGGTGGAGTGATTGGCAATCGAAGAGTTGGCCAACAGCGCCGAGATGGAGGCTAATGCCGCTCCACCAGATACCAAATACTGCTGATGCTTCTCGAAGGTGACAAAGTGATTTGTATGTTTTCCGAGCGGACCTGTGGACCTACCGACTTGTGGCCAGCTCTAATTATGACTTCCAGCCATCTGAAAATCGCTGAAAAGGGAAGCAAAGAAGAGAAGGCCCGGCCCGCCTTTTCACTTTCGATTTTTACTGCTCGCATTCCGGCTGCATTGTAATTAGCAGCATCTCAATTTCCCCATTATGGCCGGCGCTCACTTCCCATTCCCGAATTTCGCTCGCTCATTTGCATGCGGTCCGCTATAAGGCCATAAAACATTTCTATTCAGTTAGCATCCACTTAGGCCCCGCCGATCCGCCTTCGTTTCGAGTCCGGCGAGCAGCTATCATTCCATCCAGCTACCATTCCATCACTCCATCAATTCAGCGAGGTTCAGAAAGTGAAAAGCACGAGAGTCGGAGGCCGAGACGCAAAACAAAACAATTAATGTGATCTAAAATCTGCTCATTAAATTAGATAAAGGGAAATCTCGAAGCGGGCCAACTAATAAAAGTTAAAAAGCATAAAAACAAAATCGTGCCCAACCAGAAGTGTTTGTATAAGGCATTGGTATGGTCTAGAAAAGATTTCTACTCCCGTCACGGTTGATAAAGGCAAAACGGGAGGAAAGCGCTTAAATAGGCGGAAAAGCGCATGAGTGATAATCCATCAAATGGGGACAGGTTTCCACTCTCAAAAGGCATTCGATGTGGAAAGACTCGAATCAATCACAACTATTTCGAAACGATAATTTGAGCCTCGATTTGGGACGGGGAATTCCTAATGGCGGCAATTCAGATAATTTGCGACATTAAAACACAAAATTTGTTTGATTTCTGATAAACAGTGTGAAGACGATTTGCGTAACAGAAATACTAGAAAGTGTGAATCTATTGATCAAAAAAAAAACCTTGGGCTTTCATAAGTACAAGCAAATTGTTTATGTTTAACTTTATACCACATTAATTTAATAGAAAGACTTTCAAGATGATTCAACACACAAAGAGATTTACATTAAAAACGTTGAAAATGGAATTCTAAATGATATCGACGGACTGTTTTTTACATCGATTAATCAAGTTTCCGAAGAAGTCTTAGCTAATCAATTCCAAATACTTTCAAATGAAAACGTTAAATCAAAATGCTAGAAAGCTCTTCATTCCAATGATCATAAATCAGCGGGGAGATATTGAGTTATCAAGTGAATTAATTAGTGTCACAATAAAAGACCTCCGTATGCAAAACTAGTTCCGAGAACCCGCCTCGGAAAAAGAAACCATTGCAGCCCGCTTTTACGATGACAATTCCACTTGGCCACTCCATTGTCTCCGCGGAATTAGCTGTTCTTTTATTTGTTTTCCAGCTCCCAAGTGGCCGACATTAACTGCGATTAGTCGTGTCAATCCCGCGCAGCAAACTACATGTCGCTGGGAACGCTGGGAAAGCGGGAGTCCAACCCGAAATTGGCCAAGGCGATATCGGGCTTAAGCCAGCGCTTTGGCTCTCTAGCCAAGTTGTAAACGCGCGCTAAGCGCATACAAAGCGACATCGGCGGAGACAAAATAAGCCACTTAACGGTTTCCATTATAATTGAAGAAGAAACCGACGAAGACGCTGAAAGCGCAGCTGGCAGTCCATTAGATTACGGGCAGTACGAAATGTGAAAGATATTGAAAAGCCGCAGCCACACATCGCCGTCTCAATTGTAAGCAGCCAGCAGCACTTTCTCCCGGCCGAGCGAAGTGCAGACAATTGGCAAGATGCTCGCTCGCAGCGGGCCAATTGCATAATTTGGGCGGCAGTTGAGGTGACTCAACGCACTCGGAGTCGACGCCCAGCAGCGTGGGAACTGAATAACCGTCGATAAATGAATATTCATATCGGTATTCGGCATTGCTTAATTACGGCGGCGGCCAAAACCGAAGCGCAGTCAGTCGAAATGGCTTTCTGATGTGGTACATGTTTCGGCTCGACTTGTTAGCAAAGAAAGTATTTCTTGCTTCACTAAATATCTAAAAGATTAGGTTTACATGGTGTGTATTCCCTTTGCTCAAGTCGTTTCTGAACGTTATTGGAAGCTTTCATTAGAATTTTTGCTAATCTTACTATTTCTTCTAGAGATTTGATTATGAGCAAATTAATCCCCCTTTTATTTTTTTACCTGCAACTACATAAAAGATTTTTTTAGCCATATTCTTATATTTCTATTATGCATTAATGTTCTCCATAAGCTTACATCTCTTTAAACAGGTTGTAAACTTTTTAAGTTATGGTGGAAACGAAATGTGTTAAGTGTCTTGGACTTCGGGCGTCTCATTGAAATGTTAATTATCTTACTTTAATGTGAGCAGATTTATTTATGCGCAAGTAAAACCCCCTTGCTTTTCTTAACTGAAAATATAACACTTAGTATTGAATAACATTTACTTTTTAAGCATATACTAACATTTTTATTGTGCGCAAACATTCCCCATTAGTCTCATTCTCCTCTTCGAACGTTTTGTAAACTTTTTAAATTATGGTGGAGAGAAATGTGTGAGGTTTCTACGACTTCAATAAACTGCGGTGTGTGGCGATTGCGTGAAAATGAACTCGAGATGGCAATTATCGAAACCGGTAAAAGGAGTATGCCGCTGATTGGCAACGCCTCGCCTCTGACCCGAGCTGTGTTTCCACATCGCTCCAGGTTCGGCCCCTCCCAAGCCAATCTCTCCTCTCCCATCACCCGCCCAACTTGATCCCGAGACTCACCTTGGCATTGGGCTGCTGCTGGAGCTGCAGGAACGTGGCTATTCCATTGCGCACACGGTTCCTGACGCCCCGCACCGTTCCCTTGGCGGATCGAATGGTGGACTGGGTGGAAGTGGCTCCGCTCCGCACGTCCCGATAGCCGGCGAAGAGGTCGTTCTGTTCCGCTAGAATTCCGCCCGGGGACTCCGCCCCCCTGTCCGCCTGATCCCCGTCGTCCCTCGAGGTTCTGGCGAAGTTCTCGTGCTCGTTGATGTGAAAGCTGTAGTACTGGTCGTCGGCGTACTTGTAGCTGATCTTGCTGCGTCGGCCGTTGAGGTTGCTGCTCGGTGGCAGCGACTGCGGGGAGGCCTCGATGCTGTCCAGCGACTCCTCACCGGTTTGCACAAAGTTGGCCCGCTCCACCGCTGCACGCAGCTCCTCGATTTTCTCCTCGCTCAGCGATTCGCGGGCCAAGCGAAATGGTGAGGCTTTCTCGGGGATCTCCTCCTGGATCTGGCTCTCGATCTTCTCCTGCTCCTCCTCCCCCTCCGGCTGGGAGAACTGCACCACGTTCTCGGTGCTTCTGCGATCGCGAATGTCCCGCAGCAGACTGTCGGGCAGCAGGGATCCCAGGACCCTCAAGGACTTCTGCCGCTGCCTTTGGCCACTTGGCTGGGAAGCCGCCTGCCTCACGTACTCCGTGCTGCTCCCGTGCATCGAGTCGCTCCCCAAAGAGGATGGTCCGCTCTCCTCACTGTCGTCCGGCTTGGTGGGCACTCCGGTGCTCTCCAAGTCGCTGCCATTCCCGCTGTCCGCCGCCTCACAGTGGGCCGAGTACTGCTGGAACTGATCCATGAAGCAGCCGCCCGCGTTACCGCCCTTGCTCACAGGGGGCGTGGCAAGAACCATTGTCTCTATTTACTATTCTATTTAGAGTTTGTTGGGTAAGCCGACTTTCGGCTGGCACTGTCTGCAATTTGCACAAGTTAAATCCAAGCGTTCAATGACTCTGGCGGCCGTTGCACCCGAGACGTCGCATGTCTTTATGCTTCAGATCTCGTCGTTAGACTGGCACGACTTTTTCTGGCCAAGACGGTAAGCCACCACTGCGATCCACTCGACTCTCTCTCTCTCTCTCATCTTCCTCTCTCTCTCTGGCTTTTGGCTTATTCAGCGCTCAGTTATTCAGCAAGTCCATGGCTTTCTTTCTTTTGGCCGTGTTGCACCGCCGCTGCGCGTTATTAGATCTTGTAATTTTAGCACCCGTTGCGGGCTCAAATTGTTTGTCATTAGCCGGGAAGAAGTTTCTGGCCGCCGCGCGAAATTAGCAATTGGCCTACAGAGCGGTGGAGCTGGTGAGCTGCAGCTGCCGAAGTTGGCATGACGCCTGCGCGTGACTGTGACGCCAACTGATGCCAACTGGGAAATAGCCCGATCACTCGGCCAGATTAGCGAGCCGAGATGGAGAACCGCAAGAACGCGAATTAGCGGCGACTCCAGCAGCGCCTTCTGTTCCGCGTGGCTATTAAATAACATTTCAATTATGGATCCCCCGGCATGGAACTTGACCCACTTGACCTATTCTTTTGGCTAGCGGTGATCGGCTAATTGCTTTTCGCAACGATGATGGGAATCTATATTTAACATTAAGGGCAGTTAAACATTTGAGAATGTTACAAATCATTGCAGTGATATTTTCAGCAAGCCAGCAGATGCCAAAAATAAATGTATTTTTATACCCTTGCAGAGCAAAAGGGTATTATAATTTCAGTCAGAAGTTTGCAACGCAGTGAAGGAAACACCTCAGACCCCATAAAGTATATATATTCTTGATCAGCATCACGAGTAGAATCGGAATACGTCTGTACGTCTGTCCGTCTGTCCGTTTCCGCGCTAACTAGTCTCTCAGTTTTAAAGCCATATTGATGAAACTTTCCCAAAAGGTGTGTAGTTATTGCACGCAGTAAGTATATAAGTCGGAACGGGCCGTATCGGCCGACTATATCGGATAGCTCCCATACGAGAGATTGAAATGAAAAATTCTCACACCGTTGTTTTTCATCAGATCGACTTGAATTCTTAAAGATGGCGTTTTCCAACTGTTATTGAATATCGGATTAAATTTGATCAAAATTGGATAATATATAGAATTAATGGAAATAAATTGATAACATTGTTGTTTTTTATCCCACGAGCATGATTTTTTGAATATAAAGTTTTTTGACAACGTTTTTGCTGAGAAAAATGTTTCATAAAAATCGGTCATCTATATCTTATAGCTGCCATAGGAAAGATCGAAAAATCTATATAGAAATAATGGAAATAAAATTATAACATCCTTGTTTTTCATCAGACAAGTATGATTTTTGGAATATAGAGTTTTGTTACGACTCTTATATTACGAATTAAATTTGATCAAAATCGGACACCTATATCGTATAGCTCCCATATGATCTATAGTCAAAAATATGGAAAATGAATAGAAAAATTGTCTTAGCTTCGATGTTGTCTAGCTTTTATGTATTTTGTTCGACATATTTGATGTCTGCAAGGGCGAGCCGAAGCTAGCTTCCTTTCTTTTTTTTTTTTTGTATTCGGAATTTAATAACTACGGTTTTTGCTTACTTCTGATAGGTCTTACCAGTATTTAATAATTATTACTAAATAAAAACTGTAATGCTTGATTACTGAAGAGTAATCTTATCAAGGTCATCGGTATTTGACCTTTCCAAATATCTTGGTCCAACTTACAACATAACTGAGCAAAAAATAGTAGCCGAAAACATCTTGCATTAACACAATCTCCACGATTAAGGGCACCTAGATGGATCAGAACTAGGCGATTAAATAAGCAAATAAAAGCCCGTGATATTCCAAAATATCTGAACACAATGTGCGTGACAATTTACTGAATATTTTTCACTGAATGAGTCGCAGTCATCGGCAGATTATCAGCCGAATCTCGGACAACTTCCTGCACTGATAGCTGAGTTACCATAATTCATTCACTCGTCAGTAAAAATGTGCTGGCACCTCGGCATGAGTTGGCCAAAAGAAAGTTTCGCTTGTGCATTTTCCACACACACACACACTCTTATTTGTTTGTGTTTATGCCAGAAAACTGTTATAGGATGAGCACATTATCTGCTTAAAGTGGGAAAATGTACTTACAAAGCTACGCAATCTATGCAAATGCCAAGTCGGGTTTATCTCGGAGCTCTCCCAAAATCGGTCGAATATCACGTAGCCGCCGCGTCTGCAGTCAAAACTTTGGTCGCATCTAATTGACGGCTGCGTTTATCAATAGAGCGAATCCGGGCAATCGAAGCATCTATCGGGCTGTGACAAATTTCGCAGAATGCCGATGCCAAGCGTGTTTATCGCGCAATGTGATGTCTGCACAATTTCGGCTCCGATAAAATCATCAAGCTGCAGAGCCATGAGTGTTTCAGACTTCGACGCGTGCCACTGGTGACTGGTGGCATATAAAAGGCCCGGCCGCATTTCGAGCTGCATTGAGTTTGGGAAGAGTCACAGAGCTGCAAGAACATGGCTGGGCGAAAGACACTGCCCCTCTGTTTTGGAATAATCTTACAAGTGCTTCTGGCCACCGCTGCCCAGGATCAGATGACTTCGTTCTGTGCCAACGATGGAACTCCAGCGTGTGCCCAAAGTCGGAATAATGGAATGTACTTATTGTTCGACAACGAATGCGATCTGCGAAAGGCCCAGCGGGGAAACCTCATGAATGGACCTCTGTGTGAGTATTTCATTAGATTCGGTTTGTTAGAAAAAAGACAGATTAGTAACTTGAGATTCGTAATACTGATTAATCTGATTTATTACAAGCCAGAAATTGTTATTTAGAAAACACAGCGAGAGTTATTTATTAAAGTTACCTAGAACTTCGCCTTCAAAATGTGGAATGGTATTTGTTTTTATAATGGCGATATATACTAATTAGACTAATTTGAATAATTTACTTCAAAAAATTATTTAACATTCCTATTTGGCTATACCAAAATTATACATTTCGAAAATTATTAATCTTTGAATTTTCAAAAATGTTTCATAAATTATTCTTTTCTATTTTACATACTTATTGTATATAGATGACGTATCCCTTCGCTTTTGCTTTCCGAACTGTGAGTTCCAATGCAGCCCGAGATATCAGCCAGTTTGCGGAATCAACTCAAGATCAGGAGAACGCAAGACCTTCAGAAGCCGATGCGAGATGGTGAGGACCTCTTGTCTCTCCAGAACGGATTGGCTGGTCCATCGGTGGGGAGTGTGTCCCAAGGCCAACACAATAACCCAAAGCAGTGAGAAGACCCCTGTACCCGTTCCTTGCACCAGGATCTACCGTCCTGTGTGTGCCATGTACGCGGGTGTCAAGTCCACCTTCTCCAACGAGTGTCTTGTGAATGCTGAGAACATCAAGACCCAGAGAAGTGAGTAGTCTTATTTACACATTAGCTAAATGATGGTCCTGACATGAACCAAAAAGTTCTGCAAAGAAGTAATGCAATGCTCCTTTTTTTTTGAATGGGCCGTGTATATGTCTCCTTCCCTTTCGAATTGCGATAAGGTTGATACATTTTTCCCCTTTCCAGATTGGCGCATCGTATCCGAGGGCCTCTGTGGCGAGGACAGCACCAAGATGAAGCACAGCCGCAAGCAGAAACCGAAGGCCAAACCCAAGTCGGAGGCAGAGCGCACGAAGAGGAGCCACAAGGGCAGGGGGTCGTCCACTCAGGCGGAAGACTTCCAGATACCGGAGGACGCGGTGGAGATCTACGCTCCCTCCACTTTCCACACGCAGTTCATCAGCCACACGGGCGCCGTGGAGAAGAGCTACTCGCTGCCCGCCAGGAAACCCTATGTAGTCCCTTTGAAACCGAAAATGGGAAAGGGTCTCGAAAATGTTAACAGTCACGTGAAGTCCTGCGTTTTCGGCAATGAGACAATTTGCGGGAGTTTCAGGGGACAGAGTCGCACATTTTCCAGTGTCTGTGAGTTAATGGATTACAGCCAAAAAGTTGGAAATGGTAAGTCTTTCATGCGAATTATTAAATTTATTAACCATCTTATACCCAAGAATACCTTAGGGCAAACGATATTCGTTAAATACAATTGTATGTTAGAAGGGGTGAAACATTTCAGGAGTATGATGATACGTTTGCTTCTACAAATCTGGGATAAACAATATTTTCTTTTATATACCTTTTGGTTGGTTTTCTTTGCAATTAAAATATAAATAATAAACTATAATAATACAATATTATAATCTTCTGTAGCCTGGACCATTTCTTACAATGGAGCCTGTCGCCGCTGTGACAAACCTTGTCCCACAGCTTACCAACCCATTTGCGCCACTCGCGACGGCATCTATAATACGATCGTCAATGAGTGTTATTTAGAGAGAGTGCGATGCAAGGAGCCAAACAGCAGTGAGTTTAGTCCATATTAAAAGCAATAACAAATTAGTCTAACCTAAACCATCCTTCAGCTTGGAAGTTTTCCCACAAGGGAGAGTGTCCCAAGACCAGCGGTCAAGCTACGCGGAAAATGTCCACTGACAGAAGTCGCCCACTGTCTTTGGTGCCTCGGGTGTTGTTTGGAAGGAGTAATAGCACCACCATCGCACCACAGTATCGCTTTAGGAAACCTTCGCTGAGGACCACAACCACTAAGGCTCCAACCACCCCTAGTAGGCAGCATCAGCTAATGAAGAGAATGTTCAAGGCCCCTTTACCTTCGCTGGAAACTAATAGCCGGAAAATACGCAAAACAGAGCTGGTTACTGCGGGATTTGGAGGTTTTGGTGTTTCGGGCGACTCAAATCGCGTGAGCGCAGATGAAGATGCTTCCTGGTCCGTGAATGACAACTGGCTGGTGCGAAAAACCCTCGATAATGTAAAGTTCTTCCTTGGCAAGAAACCAACATCTTTTAAGAAGACGCATAGCGAGAAGAGCCCACTGTACTACTTGACCGTCCCACCGAAACACACAAGCACCACCACCACATCGACCACCTCGACGAGCACCACCACAACAGCACCGCCACCACCCAGACTGCCAGCCATTTTGAGCACCGCTTCCAAGGAGCTACTAAACTTGGATTTTGGTAACACAGCCAGTGCTTATGAAGATGTCGAGCGGGAATTGCTGCTCATGCTAACCACCAAAGAGGCCACCACTACAAGCTCTACAACACCTGTGCCAAGCACCACCCAACCGCCCAAAACCACGGATTCCTCGACCACTGAGTTGCTAACCAGTTCAGATAGTGCTTCTTTCATTTCGGAAACAGCAAATGAAGACTCAACCACTGACTTCGGCGAGTCGACTGATCCGCCAACCACAGACATTGCCTCAAGTACCACGGCTGCACCACCGTTCTCGACCACTGAAGCCGAGGAGCTGAACAGCCAAACCACCGGCAGCGATGTGGCAACCACAGAAGCCTCCAGTGAGCTGCCATCAACCACCTTGAATGCGGACTACACGGCGGATGAGTCATTTTCGGAGTCCAGTGGTCAGACCTCAATCTACGGACTCGACAAGAACTCCCTGATAATGCGACTGTTGCGCGCCAGAAGTAACCAGAACGTGGTCATTTAGTTAGAAAATACTATGTTAAGAACTATGCTTAAGTTGTTAGTTACTAGCAATTCTTAAATAACATTTGTTATATTTGTAGATACCAAGAGTTGGAAGTCAAATTTTAAAGTCTTTGAAGCTTGGAGTTAAAATATAATTATAAATGATTTGTTGTAGAAAGAAATAATACAAGAAAAGTAAAAATGAATAAATAAATAATACAGTAAATATTAAAACTTCTATTTTTATTTTATATATAATATTAATAAAAACAGATTGAAACAATTTAAAATTTGTAATAATAATATCATGAGAAAAATTAAAAAAAAAAATTAATCCAGTTAAGTCTTTTTATGGTTTATCTTAGATATTTTATAAGTCTTTCTTTCTTGTTTTTCATTAAACCTAAAGTATTAAAACGTTAGTTTAAATGATAACGGAAATTTTATGCACTTACCGTTCTTTCACGCTTTGGCATCTTTTCCGAACGAAAATTGCTGAAGAATGTAAAAAAAAGCCCTTTTATAAACAAATTCGAAAAGTCTCGAATCCATGTCTTATTTACATTTTACACATGTTATGTTTACAATAAATTTCTTCTTATACTGTTAATTTTACACGACTTTGACATAAGTAGAAGCAGAAGCGGAGGAATCGCCCTCTCGCGGTAGAAAGTAGAACTGTAAGCTAAACAATAGCGCTCGGAACTTTTTGAGTTTACAAAATGTAAGAGTCAGATGGCATTTCATGTATACATTTGAAATAAGTAGAAATAAACTTTTTGCCAATTTTAGCTTTCTTTGAAAGAATGTCTTCACCATTTTTATGGGGACCACAATGAGTGCTTAGAAATTGTTAATTTATATATTCCGCATAAGATAAGCATCCTAAGCTAGCTAAATAAAAGTAATTATTTTAAGAACTTCTACAGTAAATTCAAATGATTTATAGTAGGTATGTAGTTTGCTAACAACTTATAAAGTTTAAAGATCTACATGTCGACTGTTTAAATGTTGCATGGAGCATAAGAGCGTAAGGTTACCAGTTAAAATTTGAAATAACTTCGAACGACAACTGTCAAATATTTTTTATTTTCCTTTACTTGTAGCGGATACAAAAATTGAGTAAACCAGTTTTAAAATCCCACACAAATTTCCTTGAACTGTATCTTTGATTGGGGTCGTAATAATAGAGTGCAAAAGTGGGTCACAAATAGAGTAGTAAAACACAAATAATTTTAATTCAGCCCATTTCTGATATGCATTAAATGAAACGACTAAGCACTGAAATATATGACTAGTGAGATCAGATGGCTGTCTTGCATTGAATGTATCCCAATAAAGAACAAGAGGCAGGTGCTTAAAACTTAAGCACCGAGGCGCTAAGAGAGATGCACCTGAATGAAAATTTCACTATTAAACTATCAAACTATCAAACTGGTCAAGGCCATAACCGCGTGTTTACGACCCAGGTCTGTCTGCTGGCCAACTCTGCTTAGCCAACTCTGCTTGGCCAGGGGCACTTGACAATTATCGGGCCATCCGGCCGCCTGCTCCTGCTCCTGCGGCAAATGGCCCAAAAATGTTGGCACGTCGGATTTGCTTAATTGACTGGGCAATTCCGTTGCAGTTTCGGTTTCAGCCTCTCACCGCCTTTGTTAATTTCTCGTAAAAGTCGTTTCATGTGGATTTTGCGGTGCAGAATCCGAAATCCTCCGAATAGCCTCACGTTTGCGTGCTCCCCGTGATTTAATATGTGGCCATAAAAGCGGGCTGGAAGTGGGGTGGTCTTCGGTAATTGTTGTTGCTCGCTTGGCGGCCAAATATCTTCGAGGCTGCTCTGAAACAATGTTTACGCCAATTGCCGCCAACTTTCTTCGCAGCTGCGGAGTTGATGGATTCTACCTGGCAGCCATTGCATCCGATTACCTAATTCCCATCAAGTGCGACCACAGACAGCTGGCCAATCCGTCGCATCGACAAGAATTCCAAGTGGTGCGGCAAAAAAGAGTCGACAAGCTGCACCAATTGTTACTTTCACTAGTCAATAATGCAACAGGGGCAATGCATCTCTAACTGCAACTCCGACTCCATCTCCGATCTCCGACAACAACAACTTTCGCATCCCGCGTCTGCGGCTTGGTAATTAAGACGGTCACAGTTGCAACTTTAGCTCTATGTAGTTATTGATTCCCAGGCGGAGCCGAGGTATGCAAATTGCACGATGCAATAGCCACTCGGTGGCCAGTTTAAACTCGCATAAATGCACATTTGCACTTATTCTGATTGGCATCGTTCGCCAGTCACTGCCACTGGCGCCAGTTCAGCGTAATTGCAGCGGGGCATCGGATCGCGATTCACTTTCATTGCCACTGCCACTGTGCGGCTTTCATTGGGACTCACACGCAGCGGGATGGCGGTCAATTGGCGGTTGTTGCCTGTTGCCTGTTGCTCGACATTGGCTCATAATCCCGCGACAATGCGATTCAATTTGTTGTCGATCGAGCGCTGATCACAGATCGAAGATCGCGGATCGCTGATCGCCTCTTGGAGCGAACATGACCCAGAAAGTTGCCATCGGTTGTGGCAGGAATTGAGATTCCGGTGCACACAGCACACAGCACACTGCACTCTGCATGTTTGAGGCACATGAGCAATGGCTGATGTTGTTGCAAAAACCAGCTGGAGTTGCCTGCGGTTGCGGCTGCGCGATAAAAGGAGTGGCCAGCACCGCTCGGTTGCCATTTGCGACTCGTCCACTCAGCCGTTCGGTGGTGTCCCAGTGCTCCTAGTGATCCCAGTGATATCAGTGCTCCCAACTCCAGTTTGTATCTCGCGTAAAGGAAACCATGCTGCTGTTTCGCGTTGTGGTGGCCCTGCTGCTGCTCCTGCTGCTCCATTACAGCCAGGCGGAGGAGGAGGAAGTCCCCCAGAAGGCAGCTTCCTCTTTAGTGGAATCGCTCGCCCGGGCGGCGGCATCTTCTGTGAGAGCTCTCCCCAGCGATCCCTACATCTCGCGCAACCAGAGGCAGTGCTTCGAGACCCGCAGCCTGGTGTCCTGCATCAAGTACAAGGCCAGCAAGTTCGTCTGGAAGCTGGCCACCAACAGCCTAGGCTTCTTCCCCAGCGAGTACGGACGGGACCTGGGCGGGGAGAGGGGAGGCTGGCTGCGACTGGTCCAGTTGGGGGAGCCCGCCGACGAGCTGGTCGTGTTCAACGACGCCAAGAGCTTGGAAGGTGGGTCCGCGGACGAAAGTTGTTTTCAGCTCGGATCTCTAATTGATCGCCTGCTGGTCACCTGGTCAGTATCCGATCCGATCGGAGGCAGCTGAATGGATAACCCACTGCGGATGTTTACCACCCGTCCGGCTGTAAATCAATCCGGAGAATTATAGCCGTTTCTTTTAGCAGTGGCTAATTAAACGCCACATTGTTTGCTTTGCAGGCGACAGCGAGTTCACGATGGTGCTCAAGTTCCTCAAGAGAGCAGTGGAGACCTTCGGGCAGAACCACGGACTGCAGCTGAAGCTCTCCAGCGAGAGTGGAGCAAGGGTGATGGATGAATCAGGTGGATACTCTATAGTACCGCCTTTAAGTCCCATAATAACAAAGTGAAATCCCTTTCCAGAAGCCCGCTTGAAGCGCAAGAAGAAGAAGTGGCTCATCATCCTTCCCCTGATCATCCTGATGAAGATCGCCCACCTGAAGATGACCCTGGTGACCATGCTGATGGCCGTGCTCGGCATGAACGTGCTGCTGGTGGGCGGCGTGGGCTGGCTGATCCACTACCTCAAGTACAAGACCATGTGCAAGATCCACCCGCATCTGGTGCAGACCCACTCGCACGTCTACGAGTCGGAGCCCTCCGACTACTCGCAGTTCGTGGGCAGCAGCAGCTACTCCAACTCCTACTCCCCGTACAGCTCGGGCTCGGGGGGAGCTCCCCACGATATCGGGGCGAATAGTTACAGCAAGGACTGGGCCACGAGCAAGGCCTACCACGCCCACAACTACCTGGACACGATCAGCAAGCGGATACAGTAGGCACTCCAAGGAGTGAACCGTACCCGTGCCACCACCACTGAAGCCTAGTGAATTGTTAACCGTCGCCGTCGTTGAGTTTTAGCCGTTAGTTGTTAGCCTAGGTAACTTATTTGTATCCTAATAAACCTATTTATTTGTTTAATGTGCAAAGCTGAACTAAAGAGTGTTAATTAAGGGAGTAAGCGAAAGAGTTCATCGGATCCTAATGCTAAAATATTTAAATATATAAAAATCAATAGGTAAATATTACATATGGATTTAGGTTTTAGAACAACGAATTTCGATAAAATGCAAACAGTCAACTGATTTTTTTTTAAGCAATAAACACACCAGGTGCAGGCAAAGCATGAATATTTTTTGGACAAACAGTACGTATATACAAACCAATAATATTTTGGTTAAGCAATGTATATCTTATATTTAATCATTATTATATTGAGCTTGATCATTATTATCTGCGCCTGTGATGTCACAATATTCAAAATTCCGTGCTGGACGAACATCCCCACTAGAACCTTGGGTTTAATAAGACAAACAATTCCCGCACAAACATAAAGCAATTTGTTTATGACGAAAGCAAACAAGCACTTCCCCACAGACACCACTGGCCAAATAAAAATCTAAATAAAAACAAAAACGTGAGAGTGGCGCTGGAAAGCGTGTTTACCCGGTTTCTTATCAGTGCCATTGCCTTTGTTTACCAAACAATGGGGATTTGCCTTCCGAGAAGCCATTTCAATTTGCCCGAATCAATACGCTCACTAAAACCCAATTCTCTGGCCGAACTACGGAAATTGAATTATGGTCTAGAATAGAATAAACCGGGCGGAAATTAGTGTTTGCTGCTTATAAATTCATATTAATTTACAATTCCATGACCTCTAACATTTAATTACTCCTTTAAAACAGAGCTGCTTAAAGAGCAGCGGACACCTTATTTGGCTGTAAAAACAAAAATAAACAATTTCAATTTACTTAAGATAAAGCAATTTCACAACGAATTATGCCAGAAAGTCTGGCAGTTTCTATGACGGCTTGAAAATTCAGTTGTAAAAAAACAACAACGCAAAAAGCGTGACGTGCATAAAAATTTGATAACGTTGCATCAGAAACAGATATCACAGTTTTGGCTTGAATATTATTTTTAGGATTTACTATTAAGGTAAATTCTTCACGAGACACTGAAATATATTAAAATGTCTATATCCTCACGGGTTTTAAATGCATTTTTAACAAATATTTGTTGGTGACGCCCCTTTAATTTCGTTCAAATCGGAGACTACAACCTATGACCGTATTATAATTGACGGTTTCGAAAAGAATGCAGCTAAATTATTCCATTTAATTTTTTAATACCCTCAGGAACTTAAAATTTTTGCTTGTGTGGCATTAAAAAATTAACAAAATCTTAATTTAATGCTAACCTTTACTCCTTTTATATTAAAAATAATTTCGGAACTGCTCAATTATTTTTAGTTTCCCATGCCATCTTTAGGACTTTCGATTCATATGCTAAATAGATTTCCACGAATAACTTTTCTGTTTGCGAACACAATGGAATACATTGGCTTCCAATATAGATTTATTTGTTATTTTTGCATTTTGTTTATGCCGCAAGCAGACACGCCTCTTCCTTTGCAAATGTGGTGCAGGCCAAATGTGTGCGGGCGGCTCTTTTTGGCCCGATGTTTACCGGCTTCTTATCAGGGCCCGCTTTTGTTTGCAATACAATTTGGCTCGGACTCGTAAGAAGCCATACCAGTTGTTTAACCAGGCAACTACGCACTCCCGTAATCAATGGGTTTAGTTCACCGAGCTAATGCCACATAATTCCAGTTCGGGGTATCTGTTGCTATCTTCTCACTACACATGTAAATGCTTTAACAGGGCAAATATCTGTTTGCTCTCATTTATGGCATGATGCAAAGCCAAATAAAAGGCTGCTCTCTAACAACTGCCATATATATTTATACATTTTAATGAAAATGGAAAGGTTAGTAAGCTAATTTATTGATCTGGGAAGATAAGAAAGCCATCGAGTTCATCCAAATTAAACGGTTAGTTATAGAAGATGAAAAACAAACACTTGTAATGGCGCAAAAACAATTGCTTACATTTCCCACCAGTCATTAAATTAATCAAATTTTTGTAATTTAATATATTAATTTTAATACATGATACGTGGGATCTCGGATCTTTCGGATTGATTACAAAAGAGTAGCACCTGAAGCCTATATCGCTGACAAATTTGTTTTGTTCCAGCCCATAGAGATCACCACAATTCCATCATCATTCATACTTCTTTCAACGAAATCGGATAAGGGGAAGTCCCTAACCCACTACTATTCATGAAGTCAAGACTTTTTGCCAACTTTGGCACATCTGGGATATCTTAAAATATTACTCCTACCGTCACATGAAGACCATTAAATAATTATCCCTAATAAAGACAAAAAAAAACATTTAGCACGTGATGTGCGTTATATACTAGTATAAGATTATGCTATATAATTAGGCTGTTGTAATTTGCAAAACTGCAATGTCACAAGGATTACATTTATTTGTCAGAACTAAAATTCGCGTCCATAGTTCCATCTTCGTCTGCTTCTCTGGGCCTCCACATAAAGGTCGCAATCTTGTATATTTGCCAAGTAGTAAATGACTTAAAAAGGCTGCACTTGCCTTTGTGTGGACAAACAAAGATCTGATTTAAGGGAGACTATATACTAACTTCTAAGCATCTTAAAACGTTACGTAGCTTATCGTGACTTGACTGATAAGATGAGCTGCTGGTGTGAATAAAAGCGTGTGTCCAAGGGGTATGAGCTCATATTCGCGAGATCACAGTATCCCAGGAAAGGTCACAATGCTTCCCAGTTGGCTAACGGAGGACTATGTCCAGAAGGCCTTAGGGAACTTCTATAAGGATAATCAGTTGCGAGTCCAGAAGGTCTGGGCCAAGCCAGCCACGGAGAAAGGCGAGAACTTTGTGGGGGTTATGACCCGGATTTATGTGGACTTTGTGCAGGGAGATGGAACCGAGCAGAAGAAGTCCTACATCCTCAAGCAGGCCGTTCCCGCTAATGCTCCCCAGGCGAAGCTCTTCGGGGAATACGACGTTTACAACCGGGAACTGGAAATGTACGACGTCGTCCTGCCAAAAATGGCCAATATCCTCCGAGAGGCTGGCATCAATGACAAGCTGATGGCGGAGGCTGTGATCGTTGACCGGGAGCGCACCATCATGATCCTCGAGGATCTGGCTCCCCTGCGCTACACGAATGCGGACCGAGTGAAGCAACTGGACATGGTCCACACCAAGATGGTGCTTGACATGCTGGCCAAGTTCCATGCCGCCGGAATGGTCTTGAACCAACGAGAGCCGGAACTCCTGAGCCGGAACTACGACGCGCACTTCTTTTCGAGGAGTAAAAAGGGGTACGGAGAGGTTTTCACTGGATTGTTCAGGGCATTCATCAGGTATGTGAAGAGCAAACCCAACCTGAAGAATCGCTATGCGGACAAGCTGGAGAATATTATTACCAACCTGATGGACTATGCCGGCCGGTCGGTCGACGTGGGGGAGAAGGACCTCAAGACGTTGATCCACGGCGATTGCTGGACCACCAATGTGATGTACTTGTACGACGACGAGGGAAACCCCACCACCGTCCTGCCCATCGACTTTCAGTTCAGCACTCTGACTTCTCCAGCGGTCGATCTGCACTACTTCTTCAGCACTTCGCTGCAGTCTGATGTGAAACAGCAGGAAACGGAGCTTGTCCAGTACCATTATTACGCCCTGAAAAGAACATTGGAAGCACTTTCCTACAAGGGATACTTCCCCAGCCTTTTCGAGTATCAGCTTCAGTTTGAAAAACGACGATTCTTGAGTAAGATAAAGTTTAAGTATTACCTCTACATTACTAAATTGAGTATTTCCTTTCGCAGGTGTAATTATTGCAAACGTTTTCCAACCGATTATGGTTTACCAGGGCAGCGAGGACTGCGAATTCGTTAATCTCTACCAGGATACACCAGAGGGCATCAAGTTCCAGGACTCGATGTACGAAGACATGGAGATTCAGAGAAGAGTGGACACCTTACTGCCAGTTCTGGATGCCAAGGGCTTGTTGGATGCTCACTGAAATAAGACTGTTAAAATTGTTTATTGTTGATTAATAAAATCAATATATTCTGAGTGCATAAACCATGGTTCCCAATGTTAACTTTTTGACAGTTTGGAATTTGTTTAAATGACACCAAAAAACATGACCGGCAAAAAAAAGTAAATGTAAAAATTAATAAAAATCCTTGCTCTTCCGAAAAGTAATTTGAGTGACAAACAAAGTAGAAAAGGAATGTTGGTAAATTTTATTTGAATTTTAAAACAAAACAAAAACTTTTCTTACCGGGACAAAAAATGTGAAGATGGTTTAGTTTTGCGAAGAAAAATAATTGTATAACATAAAATAAATGCATTCTATAAAATCTTTTCTTCTCGCTTCTGCAAATACATATTTAATTTTAATACTATCGTTCTATTATGCGGCCTTATATGGTATCGCCATTGCGTACACTCCGAGTGTTCTTCGCCACTACGTGTACTTCCTTTCATAATTATAATCTTGAAATATATGTATGTATTGATAAATTCGCGGATCAATTTAGTACTACTTACTATCTAAATGTTTGACTTTTCGTTTATTGCTGATTAGAACCTTATTAACACTTCATTTGATACCAGCCGTATCTTCATTTTATTCTTGTCGCAAGGTATGTGTACCTATAAATCGACGTGGATGTACTCTAATTTGTTTAGTTTTTCATATTCCTTATGAATAGTTAGTTGGTGTTACATCGAATTAGAGATGTATGCCTAATAGAGAAACTCGTCCATCTGGCTCTTACGAACATTTAAGCGAATAGAATTTAAACGAATTCAATTAAATACAATAAACTCCTATGTTTTGCGAGTAATGCATGTGAGTACTATCAATCTATCAATCAAAACTAAGCCTAACGACCTTCAATATTAATTTTGGTACATCTAATTGGTTCTTGGAATATATGATAATATAATATATATATTATCTATACTAATATTATAAAGAGGTAAAATTTGTTTGTTTGTTTGTTTGTTTGTTTGTTTGTTTGTTTGTTTGTTTGCAGGGAATAGGCTCCGGAACTACTGGTCCGATTTAAAAAATTCTTTCACCGATAGAAAGCTATATTATCGTGGAGTTAAATAGGCTATAATTTATTTTGAAAAAAATTAGGGATCCGTAAGAAAATTGCAATATTGTCGCATATAAAGTGAGTTGCTACCTCATCACACTGACAAACACGCTCCCATAGCATTTTAACTCAATTTTTGTGTTCACTGTGAAATTGTGAAAAAAAAAGAATTTTTATTCAATTTAAGTTGAACTGTGAAAATTATGTGGATCGTGCATTTGAGGATAAATTCACCACTATGTCCATAGTCCAAAATGCTTAGAGGACGACGTGCAAAACATTGGCCGCAGACATCCAAGCCAGCAGCCAGTATATTCACAAAACTTAAGCGAAGAAAGACAAATGAGCACATGGAGATCATTAGCATCATTCAATCGCTTGGCATTCCAATATGACCCCACTGCGAACTACAGTGATAATGAAAATTTAGATATTGGACCAATGGCGACCGATATTGCAGTGCGTTAATGTTTAAAAGAGAAACGGCTGGATTGTGCTGCGCAAGTGGAAAAGTCAAACTGGAAAAGTGTTAAATAACCATCTTTCTATACTTCCATATATTTAAAAAATGTTGCAACATTGACTTTTATGTTGTTAAATTGTGTTGACCAGCGAAGCGGACACAGGACCTCTAGTAATATATATATTATATGGATGACTTTTATTAGATGACAAATGAAACTGACTAAATTTTACCCGCGGGAAAATCAAGGGTCAAAACCGGTCATAGACAATCAAATGAAATCAAATTTCACACGTGGTAGAGCACGCCTTAGGCATATAATATTTATAAAGTATGTTAGTTCGTCTTGAAGGTACTCTTTGGTAATTGACATATAAATGATTTAATGCCTACATCTTATCTTGCTTTATAGTTAATATCACTATCACACATTTTACACGGACAAACAAAAGTTCGAGATTGTTGATTACGCATCCGACAGAAAATAAAATGTTCGAGAGCCGGAATGACTTGGCGAATGGCGAGCAGTACCCACGGAGAGTGACTGAGCTTAATATAAATCGCAAACTCACAGTGACATTGTACAACTAAGAATTCACTTGAGAACAGAGATAGCTCGCAAATTGGCAAAACGTCGCCTATCGCGGATGGACTATAACTGAGCCTGATAAGAGACCGTTTCGTCATAATAAAAACGTGAGCCGTGGAGCTAAGACGTCAGAAGTCCGAGAGATCGCAACACTTGAACAATGCTACCCAACTGGTTAACCAAAGAGTATCTGCAGCCCAAGTTGAGGGCCCACTGCAAGGACGATCAGCTCAAGGTCCTCAAGATCTGGTCCAAGGCTGCCACCGGAAAGGGTGAGAACTTCGTGGGTGTTATGACCCGTATCTATGTGGACTTCCAGCTGGGCGATGGCTCCGTTCAGCAAAGAACCTACATTGTGAAGCAGGCTCTTCCCGAGGACGTTCCCCAGGCGGCGGTCTTCTTTGAGTACGAGCTCTACTCCCGCGAGATGGACATGTACGAGTTCGTCCTGCCCAAGATGAAGGAGCTGCTGGAGGAAGCCGGTCTGGACGGAAAGCTAACCGCCGATGCCATCGCCGTGAACCGGGAGCACAGCACCATGATTCTGGAGGATCTGGCGCCCTACAAGTTCGTCAATGCGGACAGAGTGAAACAGTTGGATTGGAACCACGCGAAGCTGACCTTGGAAATGCTGGCCAAGTTCCATGCCGCCTCCATAATCCTGAGACAACGCCATCCGGAGCTGCTGACCAAGTGCTTCTTCACCCACTTCTTTTCCCGCGACAAAAAGGCTTATTCAGAAGTTTTCACAGGATTGTTCAGGGCCTTCTTGCGGTTCATAAATGGTCAACCGAACTTAAAGAAAACTTATGGAGAAAAGCTGGAGAAGTTGCGCAGCCACATTATGGAGTATGGAGCGAGGGCTTACGATGTGGGGGAGAAGGACCTGCAGACCCTTAACCACGGCGACTGCTGGACCACCAACATTATGTTCCAGTACGATGATGCAGGCAGTCCGAAGTCGGTGGTGGCTATAGACTTCCAGTTCAGTAACTGCACCTCTCCTGCGATCGATCTACACTACTTCTTCACTACTTCCCTGAAGGAGGAAGTTAGGGACAGGGAATCGGAGCTCGTGGAGCATCATTACAAGTCGCTGAAGGCGAACCTGGAGAAGTTCTCCTTCAAGGGCCTATTTCCCAGCCTTCAGGAGTACCAGCATCAGTTTGAAAGTCGGCGATTCATGAGTAAGTAAAAAAACATAGCAGCTCAAAACAAGGGTAACCTTTTACTATTTTAAAGGTCTGCTGGCGCATCAATTCAAACCTTGCATGATTTACAACGGCACTGAAGAAACCTCGGACTTCTCAAGTCTGTACAAGGATACCGAAGAAGGACTTCGCTACCAAAAATCTGTTTATGAAAATGAAGCGATAATCAGAAGTGCAACCAAATTGCTGGCCATTCTTGATGCCAAGGGTCTCTTGGATGTTAAGTAGGCTGAAAATTTCTAAAAATCAATCATATCTGTGATTTGGTAAAACGTTTGGTAGACACTATATTATATATTTTATGTTATATTCTCCTTTTTTAAATAAAATTTATCAAATTATACAATTTATAATTTATACATACAGTTTATATTGTATATTAAATACATTACTTATTAAGCAGTAGAGTGATAATTCAAGGTGTGAAAATACTAGCAACAGTTAATTGGGTGTGTTTGATTGTACTCGCAGGAATGTTTATTTACGGTTCGTAATCAAGATAGTTTTTTTGATACTGTTTGTATGGCAAATACTTTTTTAGAGCACACTTCATACGATAAGCTATCAGCAAGAAACAAATAATTTTAAAGTGCACATAAACACGGTACGTCATTTTCTCGTCATTTTTAGCGGGGAATGATTAGGAGTGGTTGCCCTCGAGCCTCAAGTGATAACAAGGAAGTTTGTTTTATGTGACTCAAATCAGCAGACAAGCAAGCTAGAATTTCTGGCAACCCTTGGCCCAGTGTGCCGAGCTTTTCCACCCCCAGCTTCAGTGATAAGAAAGCTCCGAACAGCTGATGGGTGGCCAAAACCCAAACAAAGTCGGAAGCGAGGGCCCACGGCCTGTTGACCGAGTGCGGCGCCCTCAGTTGCAACTTGTGTGCCACGCGGCGTATACGCAACGCGCACTCCGCCACCGGCAGAATCGGGCAGATATATAGTCCGGGACGACGAGGCTTTATAAGCAGGGGATGCGCACCAAAAGCCAACAGATGGTCGCTGACTGTGCACGCGTGTGGTTATCGGAGATCAGCAAACAGCCGAACTAAACTGAACCCGAAACTCAATGTAATAAAAGTGCGTGGAATAAGCGGAATAATCAAAATGCGGCCGCACATTTATTCAGAATTTTGAGGCCCAAAAAGTTGGATCTCCGCGGAATTCTGAATTCAGAGAGGTGTGTTTTGTGTTTGTTTTTCAACTATGTGCCGCCATAAAAAGTTAAAGGCGTGAAGATTTCGCACAACGCCTCGACATTTACGACTGTTCCTCCTCTGCTCCGCGGAATTTCGCTAACAGCTTGCCGGACGCGCCGCAGTTGTCGGCGTTATATTAATTATTCTCCCGAACGCGCTCCAGTGAATCCGAACTGCAAGTTGCGAATTAATCGAAAGAAAATATTATTCTGACGAGTCTCGCGGGAAATCAAATCTTGCGAGTCTGTAATGCCAAGTGATGTGTGTGGGAAATAATAACTTAACAAAACTACGGGCAGAAGTCGATTCGGTTGAGTTCCGTTCGGTGGAAAATTAATGAGTCTGCACCGCGCGTAATGAGATGTAGACGAGTGCTGCAGTTCAATACGAAATACTCGTACATACGAAAGCAATTTGCTTAATGAGAATATTAATGGACTCCCAATAACGAGCCATACATTAAAGCCATATTTCGTGCATTAAGGAAAATATTTCGACAAGAATATTGCGCCAATTATAATTATATTGACATAAAGGATTTAATATTTGAGGCCAAACAAATTGTGTACGAATATATGAAATATGTGAACTAATTAATCCAGGACTTTTGAGGAAGCCAATTCGGCTTTAAGCTTTAATTAAAGCATTAATATATTACAGTTTATTTTTGTACTGGAGCACTGTAAAGTCCTTAATCAATTTTATTAAGCATTTCAATTAATGTGCAAGAATTTAAGGCACAAATTAAAGTTTTAAAATAATTTAGGTTTCTGGTTAGCTTAATCCTATTAAATTCTGTTTTAGAGTTGCAAATGAATATTTTTTTAACTAAGGCGACTTTAATAAAATCAGTTAAGTTAAATTACCTTTGTAATTACCGAACAGAATTAAATATATTGATTCATGCCAATTGTTTGCCCCTTAAATTGAGTTTATAAAATCAAGAATAAGTGAAATCGGCTTGTTAAATATCGTGCGGTGAACCCTTTTAAAATTTTACCTTAAAGAAAAGGACATTATTTTAAAGTTTGTTTTAAGTGTGTCATGCTCAACTGAGCGTGTATAAACTGGGGAAGAAGCACGTTCAAAGTGCACCGAAAAGGTGGAAAATGTTCCAAAGTTATGCATGCCAATCCATGCAAAACTGCAACCCCACGGCATTCAAAAACTGCAACTTTATTGCACAAACTTTTGGGATTCAGGCGTGTGCCATTGTGCTCCATGGATTAAGTTGTTCCCAAACTTTCTCCATTTCGAGTAGTTTGAAGAACATCAATTAAGTTTATTACGCTGACAAGCAGCTTGCCTGTCGTCAGATTAAATGTCGCATACTTTCGACCTCTTCAATCAAGCATTCACGCAGAAGTGATTTTATTTATTATAGTTTTTATTTATTGTAGCGAGGACATTAGAAGAGAGCTGTGATTACAGTCAGAATTGAAAACTAAGTGCGCAACTGCTGCTGAAGCGGCCATAAAGAAAAAGTCATTCGTGTCACTTACAGCCGGAAAACAACAACCGAAGGCAGGAAGACAATTCTACATCCTGTTGGCAGAGGAGATTGCCAGAACGATGGTGAGTGTAATTGCAATATAAATACTTAAAGCCAGCTCGAGAAGCCATTTCGGAGTAGATGTCAAACGGAACGAAATTACTTTGTTCCTAAAATGAAAAAGTTTGTTCGAGTTGCTCGAGGGGGAATCGGTCTGACTTCGCCATATGGCAAAGATTTATTTGACATTTGCAGGATCCACCGCCAGATTGAAGACAGGATGGGTTTTTCCGAAGTAGGAGCCATACAAATTTCTAAGTTATGCTCCCATTTCGTGGCAATTTAAAAACTCGGAGAAGGCTTAAAAGTCTCGCAGAAGCGTATCAATTTACGCCATAATTGCTGTCCTGGTTACGCAATCTCATTTTCGTGAGCCGCATTCTGTGTACTAGGAGTTTTTTTTATTTTTATCTCAAGGGCGACCAACCACTCGGTGGCTTTTCTTTGACACCTAAGAAGTGTTAAGCGTCACGGGAAACATGATAAATAGCAAAGGACTCACGCAAATGGGAGAGATTTGCGTTCAGACCGTAAGAGGCTTAGATGATTAATTCCCAAGAAACCCAGTTCGCATTCGGCCAGATGTCCCCGCTTAAGCACATCACATCACTTTCCCAGTGAATAATTCGTACTGACCAACGGAGCAGATGAGGCCAATTCCAGCTGGGCCTTACCTCTTCTGTCTTCAAACTAAATCGACTCCAATTAATAATGGAAATTTCCTGAGAGCAAGCAAATGGTGCCGGAACCCAATAACCAGTTAATAAATTCATCAGCCAGCAGGGCCAATAAATGTTTGCAGCAAACAAATCGCACAAGCGGCAATAAAATCCATCTTGTTGTGGGCGAAACAAGAGACTTGCCGCAAATAAATCACAAAAATAGCTGAATCGGAGTGCCTGCAGGCAACTCCTAACCAGCCAGGAGTCCGGTCGAATCCTCCGAGCTTTCTTTGGCATTTAAAACCTTTGTCACGCTCCACTTATCCAGTGAAGCGAAAAGGCCGCAGGCTCTCGCATTCCGAAAATTACACCAAATTTGTGACAACTGCCAATGGCTTGAGGCTACTTTGCATAATTCTCCTGACGTCGACTTCCCTTCTCAAACTGAACCAAGAAGGCAACTGTTGAGTGGGTTTCCCCATCTTTCAGGAAGAAAACATGGAAATTCAATTTCCACCTCGCCATGAAGCTGATGTGATTGGAACTTCTGCAACAAATTGGTGATCAACTTCGAACTGCTCCTTTTTTGTGGGGCAAAACTTTTTTATTGTCTTCGGCTAAGGCGGAAGGGGAATCCCCAAGCAGCCTCTCGGTCGAGACAGACAAACATTTTACAGGCTGGCCAGTTTGCGGTGGAGACTTGTCCATTTAGGACTGGCCAACTCGGGGCTAGATGTTTGAGTTGGCAGTGCAAATGTTAGTCAATTAGGTGCTGGCCAAGTTCAAATTAAATTTCCATGGCAACTTTGTCTTCGGCTCGTTTGCGATCCCCGCTCTGCTGCTATCTGGAGCCCTAATCCCCCGATTTGCGAGATTTATTAGCGCCCCATTTATCGCAGCTGTCGGTGGTGGAGCCTACCTTTAGGCGCCCCCATAAGTTTGTCTCGCCCACCTTCGGTGGGCCATCGGCTTTATCGATACTGACAAGTGCGCAGCCATTCGGCGCATAAAATTACACAATTATTTTTAGCAAATGTCGTCATTTATAACCTGCCTGTATATCTGTATCTGTATCTGACTCTGGATGTGAATCCGTAGCTGACGGCTGTCCCTCGACACCCCGATATCTTATTCTGCCAGCAAATTCCGGGCATCAAACGCACATTCCCCGGGAAAGGCACTTTTGATTTTTCCAATTAAATGCATGTCTCGTCCTGATGTGCCGTATAAATTATGGGCCCATGTAATGCATGAATATTTACGAGGGAAAACAACTTACTAACTGCAGCCTGCTGGTGCCGAGGCACTTTAAACAGAGATATTGCATAAATTTACACCGAACGGACGGGAATTGTTCAGAAACAAAGAGACGTGCAACGCCTAAAAACAAAGGGAAAGATTTTGCCCCGTGAAAGTTATCCTGTAGCAGAAAATTTGCGAGCCAAGTCCCATGAGTCATGGCCGTTGTCTAAAGGGCATCAGAAAGGCATTAAAAGGCGGATCCAAGGGCGTTTGAAGTTTTTATCCTGCCCTGAGATCACAAGTCAATTACTAATATAGCACACTGGAAAGTAGTATTTCCATCAGATAAGTTTAATGCATATTCTTTTCTTAGTTTGAAATTTCTGCAGTATTCGTTGCAGTAAATATTTGTTGTAGGTTTTTAATGTACAATTAGAAACGCACTAAAAAAGTAATAAAAATAAAAAAAAAAATCGATGAAACGCCCTTGTTTTTAAGCTTATGTATGGATCGTGAGGCAATTTCGTGTCTTGTAAAATTTCGCAATTTGTTTTTTAACCGCTGGGCTGCAAATGCTTTAGCCGACCAAACTATTTAGTTTCTGGAAGTTTCTCATTAAATGTTAATGTTAATAAACTTTGAATTTGGACAAGAATTTTTATTTTTTTTGCTTTGTTTTAATAATTTGATTAAGCAATATCATATTACAATAATGGAAGTAAAAAAATTAATTTCGAAATTATAAAATACACTTTTTTTTATTATTTTTGAATTATATAATTTTATATATTTTCTTGAAGTAAAATTGAGATATTTGTTTACGATTAATCCTGTGTGCTTAACTCACCCCCAGTTTCTCCCAGTGCTCGCCTGCAATTGAGGCGTCAGAAGTTTCATTCATGTCGAATTCCCATAGAATCCTTTGGTGCTGGGCCACCTACTGGCACGGAACAAACTTTTCATGCGATTATTGCCCCGCATTTAAGGCGGGCCATAAACCAGTAGAATTTGCCTTTCGCAGCGGGCTTGAAATATGTGTGGCGTGTGCTGCAGGCCAATCTCGTAAATCATACGTGATGTGGCACGCAAATTTAGCCCCCTCCCCATGAAGCCTGCCTCGTGCCCCCTGACAATTGAATATTTCCGCTGCGGAATTCAGCGTTTAATGAGACACTGTTTGCCCTCTCTGCTTGCCAGATAATCAGCATGAACCAGACGGAGACCGGGCAGCTATCCGCCGGAGAGCATCTGAGTGGCTACGCCAGCAGCGGGAATAGTGTGCGCTACCTGGACGACCGCCATCCCCTCGACTATCTGGACCTCGGAACGGTCCACGCCCTCAACACCTCGGCCATGAACACCTCGGATGCGGACGAAACTGGGAGCAGGCCACTCGATCCGGTGCTAATCGACCGGTTCCTGAGCAACAGGGCCGTGGACAGCCCTTGGTACCACATGCTCATCAGCATGTACGGCGTGCTCATCGTGTTCGGCGCCCTGGGCAACACCCTGGTGGTCATCGCCGTCGTCCGGAAGCCCATCATGCGCACCGCCCGCAACCTCTTCATCCTGAATCTGGCCATTTCGGGTGAGTTCTGCCACTATGCCAAGGAGGGGGAAATCTGTGCTAACGGGCGGCCTTTCAGATTTACTTTTATGCCTGGTCACCATGCCCCTCACCCTGATGGAGATCCTTTCCAAATACTGGCCATACGGCTCCTGCTCCATCCTGTGCAAAACGATTGCCATGCTGCAGGCTCTTTGCATTTTCGTGTCGACAATATCCATAACGGCCATCGCCTTCGACCGATATCAGGTTAGTCCTTATTAATGCCAGCATTAGTATGTAAATGGGCCAATCGGCTGGGTCAAGTCATGTCCCGATATTAATGAGGTAAATAGCTCCAATTTGTATCCATTAAATTTGACGTTGAGGGAAAATCGATGGGCTCTGGGTAAATATTTGGCGATTACACGAATGCTTAACCCACGATTAAAGTTATAATTATAAGGGGTGGTTAAAACGCAGCTATTAAAAGGGATGATGTATGGGGGCCACAGGTTTTTTGCTAGGGCAAATGCTATTAAAATAAACTTGTTATTTCGGGGATCAAAAAGGTTGTTGGAAAGGTATTGTATACTCAGCGTTGGCAAATTGAGTTGCTGTCAGAGAACAAAGGGGGTTTGAATTTATTGTTCGGTGCGTAGCCTTAAATAAATAGTTACCATTTTAGCAAGAATTATTTATATTGAATATTCAGCTGTGAATAACAGGTGATGTTTGTGAGCAGAGTACACATCCATCAGATGCATTCGTGTGCTCTATCTATATTGCTCTATTTATTTTTTGGATTCATGTATGCCAAGCCAGCAAATAATCTATCGGCGTTCATCAAATGAAAATATATATTTCTGAAGGAGAGGAATTTCAGAGACAGGCCAAGGTTGTCGCCTTGATATGAATCCGTAACTGGTCACATGGAATCTATATTTATGGTTCTGTTGATTAGCTAGTGAAGTAAAAATAAACAAACATGAGATACTGTAGAAACAGCACACTATAAACAGAAGACGAATGATGAAATCAAGGAAAACCTAGCTATTATTTTATTGAAAGTTTAGTGAGGTGAAGTTTATAAGCCCATTAAAGAATTATTTAAATTATTATAACTTACAAATAATTTAAAGTATTAACTATTAGTTTAGGTTCTTAGTTATAATGAATAAATCTTTCCAAGTAAATTATAAGGAAGACCTAGTAATACCCTTATTTAGTTAGTTTATTCGTTTATATTTCCGAGTCCTACCCCTGAGTTACCCTCCACTGAAACCCCCCGACTTTTGTTTCAGGTGATCGTCTACCCCACGCGGAACAGTCTGCAGTTCGTAGGCGCGGTGGGGATCCTGGTGGGGATCTGGGCACTGGCCCTGCTGCTCGCCTCGCCGCTGTTCGTCTACAAGGAGCTGATCAACACGGACACGCCGGCGCTGCTGCAGCAGATCGGGCTGCAGGACACCATTCCGTACTGCATCGAGGACTGGCCGAGTCGGAACGGGCGCTTCTACTACTCGATCTTCTCGCTGTGCGTGCAGTACTTGGTGCCCATCCTGATCGTCTCGGTGGCCTACTTCGGGATCTACAACAAGCTGAAGAGCCGCATCACCGTGGTGGCCGTGCAGGCGGCCTCCGCCCAGCGGAAGGTGGAGCGCGGGCGGCGGATGAAGCGGACCAACTGCCTGCTGATCAGCATCGCGATCATCTTCGGCGTCTCGTGGCTGCCGCTGAACTTCTTCAACCTGTACGCGGACATGGAGCGCTCGCCGGTCACCCAGAGCATGCTGGTGCGCTACGCCATCTGCCACATGATCGGCATGAGCTCCGCCTGCTCGAATCCGCTGCTCTACGGCTGGCTCAACGACAACTTCCGTAAAGAATTTCACGAACTGCTCTGCCGTTGCTCAGAACCAACTAATGTTGCTCTTAACGGTCACACAACAGGCTGCAACGTCCAGGCGGCGGCGCGCCGACGTCGCAAGCTGGGCGCCGATCTCTCCAAGGGCGAGCTCAAGCTGCTGGGCCCGGGCGGCGCCCAGAGCGGCACCGTCGGCGGCGAGGGCGGTCTCGCGGCCACCGACTTCATGACCGGCCACCAGGAGGGCGGACTGCGCAGCGCCATCACAGAGTCGGTGGCACTTACGGAGCACCAGGTGCCCTCGGAGGTCACCAAGCTGATGCCGCGGTAAAGCTCGGTTCGCTAGTTCTTAAGGTTCCGATCCAGTTCGTTCCGGTTCGTTCTGGTTCGCTCGGAGTGCATGCCGCCCGCCCGCCTGCAAAGGACATACATTTGTATGCTTGCATGTCCTTTTGTGCGTTCTCGGGCTTATTGGATTTGCATGCTCCAAGCGTCGCTGCTGCTCCCTTTTACGTTTCACTTGTTCCACCTGCAACTGCCGCACCCAGTGTACATTGAGCGACAACACGTGCCCAAATAGCATTATCATGTTCAGGGTTTTTGAGTGGGGTCATAAAATTTATAAAGTTCCCTTTAACCTAAATTTGAATTTGAGGGTTATTGAACAATAAAACAATGCGGGTGTTTAGTGTATATAGTAATAGCGAATCTACTTTTTCTCTAATATTTATGAGGAACAGATTTGTTGAATTTGTAATTCTTTACTGGTAGGTAATGTAAAAAAATAATAATTTCTTTAAATTTATAAAAAATTCCTTGAAATTATATTTATTATTTTTAATACTGATCCCGAGACAAAATTATTTAATTCATCTTTAAACTACTCATCTTACTTTACTGCTAGTCTTTTTTTCTAACCCTTAAATCTAAAAAAAAATCTCAAACTTTTTAAAAATTTTATTTTTTAAAACTCTTTAAATATTTACGATATATTTATCAGTAAAGGAACTGTTTAATTAGTATTTCCTTATTTTAAGCTTATGAAATCTATTCGCATTCGAATTCTAAAGTACGATTTACTAATTAATCTTTCAACAATTTTGAATCTTACAATTCCCTTGTTAGAATTTTTTCTAACTGTGAAAACTCAAAGAAATCTCCAACTGTTTTAAACTTTCCCTTTTAAGAACTCTTTGTTTTAACAATTCGTTTTAAAATCGTTAACAAAAAAAGTCGGAGGAGTATTTAAGTTATGGGCTTACAATTGAGACTGATCATTTCACATTCAAACGCTTTGTTTTAGCTCTATCGAATATATAATCCATATTTTTTGTCAGTGTATGCATGCGCTTCACAATTCCTTTTGCCGTTGCCTTGACGAGTTGTAACCCTTGTCGTTGCCATGTTGTGACATTATTTGCTTTGAGCTGCCATCGATTATGACCCGGCTTTTTGTGACACATTTTCAGTTTGGAACAGTACTAAATTGGCAATCAATTCTGGAGCAGCGGGAGGCTGGAGCAGCGTTCTCAAGTGAAGCGACTTGCAATACGCTCATAGAATTTACAGAAACACATATTGTCCAGTGATCCAAAGCCAAGCTAAGTTACACCTAAGTTAAGACACACACAGAGAGTATAAATCTCGAACCCTGTATTCTATTCCCAAACGAGCATCTCATCGCATTCATCACTAAAGTATAAGGTCCACTTCGTTTGATCAATTTCATATCGAATGCCGGAAAGTAATTGATTGAGCCCCCAATTGGATTTCGGGTATTTGATAAGTCGAATACGCCTTGGACTCGATTAAGTTCCCTTCAAACAGTTCCTAATAAGTATTTTGTTGTACTACTCTTTTTGTTACTTACTTCTGATAGCATCTAAGCCTAGGATTAAACGTAATTGATGTACTGTTTGCTATCTCTAATTATAGGATAACTTAATGTTCGCCCAGTTAAGTTTATACCATTGTCCACAGTTGTGAAATAAAATTAGAAATAAATTTCAGCAGCTCCTAAGCATCCGTACGCAATATGTTTCACTCTCTGCCGATGGCAACACTACACAAAACTACAAAATATTTTAATAAATGTTGTTTACAAATACTGCAAAAAAGAGCTGTTTCACTTGAAAATGCAATCTCTTTTTAAGTGGAAATTAGAAAAGACACTTAAAATGAAATGAGTCTGCATTTTAGTTACGGAGGATTCGTGTTCCTCCTTGAAGCAATTCGAGATTGAAAGCAAATAAGGCTAAATGGGAACATTCATTATCACAGCGGAATTGCAGTTTCTCTTTAAAGATTTCAAGCATGGAGGGTAGGAAACCTGAGTTTTTCTTAAACCTCGCAGCTCTTAAGTAAGTGTGCAAAAGGGACATGGAGCTCACCATTTTAACAACCACGGCCATAAACAGCAGCTGACCCGCCCAACACTTAACCTTTGACACTTTTGTGGGTTCGAGACACTCAAGCAGCCGCAGCATAAAAACCCACGACCCATAAAAATAGCATACAAGCATGCGAACCTCGCCTGTATGGACACCGCCATAAGGAAGTTGGCGATCCAGAATGTCTATACCCGAATAGTTTTTGTTTAAAAATATATTTGTTGGGGAGTTGGAAAGGCACAACCATTGACACTTCAACGTGAGCCCCAATTAAGGCAGTTTCGGGTGCACTAATAATAAACTCATTAGCCCGCATACTTCGCATGGCTCATTCGAAGGGAAATGGCTCGTTGGGAAAGGTGAATTAGTGCATGATTACAATTCAATTAGACCTACGCACCGCCGAGGGCGAAAGGTCGGTCACCATCGCCTCAGATTCGCCACTCAGTTCACAGTTCGCTGACGTGAGGCACAAACGTAGATAAATTACGTGTCGCACGGAAAAGTGAAATGTTCCCAGCAGCAGGCAGGGTGAAAAATGAAACAAAAATACAGAAAACTAATTAAAAATTTTCGTTGGGAATGCGTTATGCGACAGGTGAGGCAGCTCACCGGCTTCTGGCTGCTGTAAAACCGTCAACTTCGGCTGGCCGTTTGTTTTGACGGCCGGTAACGGCCCCATGCACTTGGGCTCCGTGAAAGTGTTTACCTTACTTTTTGTCACAGTCCACTCGCCTGGTCAACACCGCAGAGTGCTGATTATGGAAACCCATCTCACTTTCTTCTCATGCAGATTGCGCAATGCCAACAAAGCATTCTGGCAGCGAGTGTATCGACCAAATCGACAACTTTGCCGAACCGGCGTGAGCTGGCAATTAGCATATTTATGAGTAAAAGTGAAATTAATGATTGGAATAAAATTCAAAGCAAAGGTTCGCAAATATTTGCGGCAAACCCAAGACCCTCTCTGCATACCAATGATTGGTTGCCGATTCAAACTGAGATATAACGTAATAGTGGTTTGGGGGTTTGGTGCTCTCCAATCTCTGCATCCCCCCTGCCATTAGACACATGTATTTGGATGGTGATGGAGGATGTTGGATGCTGGATGCTGGATGTTCGGCATCGGAAGGGCTTTCTTTGACATCTTTGGCGGCTCTTTAATAGGCGCTAAATGAATTTGCTGCGAGCACTTTCACATGGAGATGGCCGAAATGGGTGTTCGCCAACTTTTCAGCCATTGTCTGTGCAAAGAAGTTGGCCCCGATTTGCGCTGGGCGTTTAGAAAACATTGCTCGGACCATTGTTACATTGAGAGTGGTTATTGATTTTGCGGTCTCATAAACTGGCTTTCATTCCGTTTTGGCTTTTGAGCTTCTCAGTGGTTCAGTGGCTCGGCACTTGGTGGTTGAGGTTGTGGAGGGTGGGGCGTTGTTTCCGCTTGTTGGCCACAAGTCAATGGCAAAGTTTGTCACCAGAAATTAATAACAATGTGACGCTCAGTTGGCCAATTCTAAACGACGACTTTCTCATGCGTAAACCGGCCAACAAAACCCGTTCGCAGATCAAACGATGCACACTCATAAATAAGTGAAAATGTGCTTACTCTTTGCGCTGGTAAACTAGTTCAGTTTACATATTTATAGAAATTGAAAATGCTCGGCAGATGTGCGCAAATGCATTTTGTGTTTTTTCACCGTGCCTCGAATCCCTAATCCTTCGATCCCCCGACGACTACATGTGCATCGGATAAAGCCGGCTCCCAATAACCGATGTTGGGTCTACCAAAAGTGCTAAATTATTTCGAAACCAGAAAGAATTTGTTGTCCTCGGAGCTTATTCAGTTCCAAAATCAGTTAAGCTTGCTTGCTTTGAACCATGAAACCCACAAAGCCACTTCAATTCGGAAATGGGGAAAACTTTAAAGTTTGCAACTGAAACTTTGCTAGGAAAATTTCAATGTAGCCGCATAGCACTCTCATTTGTGAACCAGCCTTTGTGAAGTACCAACAATTTTTGTTCACTTTTCATTCCTATTTATCCGATGCTACAGGTACGATTCACAAAGTTGTTTACTCAGAATTGAATGACAATTTTCATTCAAAATCAGCTATTTTTAATATTAATAAATAAAAACTTCGAAGCTGCCAAAAAATTTAACAGTTCAAGAACTACATGAAGAATGAATTAAGAAAGCACAATCTGCCTGATATTGTTCAGGCAAATTTATTTTATTTTTATAAGCCCTTAAGATAACAACGTCAAAATAATATATTTCACTATTTATTGCTGTCTACAGCTCTACCAGTTTTAAATTTAATAAATCCCGAAGTTCATAATTACTAAGCAATTTGCAATATTAATTATTTTTAATCGAGCAAAAATTGCGTAGGGGTGCTCAGCTTTTCACAAGTTTAACCAACGCTTCTGGCGGGGAATAACGCAGGGAAACAAATTGTAACAAATTAAATAAAGTTTGCGGCAAGTCTTGGCCAAGTTTTTCAGCAGAGGTCCGCAGCTTCCCTCTCGAGGCAAACAAAATCGAAAGTTCGACTAAACCAGCGACAGACTGACTAAGTGACCGCTTTCCGTTAGCAGATGGTGACTCTTATTTTGCGCCATGACTTGGCGAATATCTGGCGATGCATATTACTCATATATAGTATATCCACATGCAAAATTGACATGCAATTTCACGGCGACAGGGTTCGTGTTTTTTAATATTTGTGAGCTGTCCGAAGAGTAGTCGTTATCATAAGCGACTAATTTCCCGTGTGCAAGAGAAAATGGGTACCTGTTGATACGGCTGTGCACTGAGAAAAACTCAGCAGCCATTGCAAAAGCATGAACACTTTTTTTTTACTCTTTTAAAAGCTACAATGGCCTTCTTCTGACATTTTAGTAAGTAACAATAAAAATTTAAGAACGAATTTGATAATTAGGTAAGGTAAATTGTGTGATAACAAGTAATACATGGGTGTACTTATTTTAGATATAAAGTTAGATTTTTTTAAATTAATTGTAAAGACGTTTAGACTTTAAAAAAAATTGTTTAATTTTATGTCTGGGTTTTAAATGTAAATAAATATTAAAAAAATATTTAAAAACTCTATATTTATTTACTATTTGAGTGAAATATAAAAAGCTAGAAGAAAATAACAGCTGAAATACTTTTAACAAATTGGATACGTGCAGTCAGCGAGCAATATTCGAAAGTTTAGAAGGCAGAGCATTTTTTGTCCGTGCAGTTGACGGCTTGAAAATTCGACTTTACCGCCGGCTTTGCCTTCAGCTCTTGGCCCTGCTCAAAGTCATGGCAATCGGCGCTCTTAAGCCGCTCTCCGCTACGTAAAACGTTACCCGCTTACGTAGACTACGTAAACCTGAAACTGGTTGATCGCACCCGCCGTTTGGCTTTCGCCCGGCAGTCCAAATCCACGCGAGCAGAGCGACAGACGCAAACGCGCGAGAAATCCGAGAAGAGCTAGTTTCTGATGGCAGTTAGCCATTGATTATAACAACTGCCAAAATACTGCCAATCTGCGGCGTGTGCTGCACTATTTTAAAGTGGGGCCATTGTTTGCAGTGGCGAACACTCGGGGTCCCGTGGATTAAAGTGCTGTTAAAGTGAAACGAGCTGTGGCAATTGCATTGACAAAGGAAGTGAGCAAAGTGAGTGAACGGGTTTCGGCCAGTATTTTCACCAGGCCAAATCGGAGAGCCGACGCAAGCGGCAGTGAATGCAATTCCGATTTCGAAACACACAGAAACGAAAGTCAGCCGAAGAAAGTTCTCCGAGGAATGCAAAAATTGAATTACCAGCCAACTGAGTAGCCAGAAACTCCTGGAGGAACCACACAGCCACGAGTGCGAGAAGGTAAATTGAGTTGTAATTGATGGCCGCCAGTGAGTGGTCCCATTAATCATGAGTGGAATCCTCCGTGCAATCTTTGTTCACGAGTCTCGATTCGGTCAATTAATGAGTTATTGCCTCCGCTAGGGAGAAGGTTGTTACCACCGCAAAGACAGAAAAGAAACCGATTGTTAACATTTCCCTGTCGACACCGCGTTGCTGTTTAAACCCATTCATTTCGCTGTCCCTCTGCATTTGTATCTCGAAGTTGCTCAGTCTCACACTGTGTGGGCCAGATACTCTGTCCGCTAACTTAATAGAAAAGCTCGGCGGCTCCGTAATTAATTGTCGAGAGATGTTATGTAAGGCGAGCAGCTGGCCTACCCCAACTGGCCAAAAGGGAATCATCTGCTCGACTCGGCCGGCAATCGAAGCGTCGCCAAATGTTTTACGATACTTTCTTTTTTCGGCTCACAGCGCGTAAAAATGCGTCGAAGAAAGCCCTCGTCTCAGTCGATCAACTGCAAAATTATGAAAATGATACGTGCGGAGGAGTGAGCACCACACAGAGACAAATTGTAGACCTCAACTTAATGTTTACAGCTCTAAATCTTATGGGGAATTGTATCTTTTGTTTCGATTTGAAAAGCCTTCAATGGATTGTCTACAGAAATAAAAGACTGTCATTGTGTCTGAGCATTGTTTTAATACATGCTGATACCAAATGGAGTTTAACTAAAAGTCAACAAATAGTTTCAAAGAAGAAATAATGCATTTATACGGCTGTTCGCTTTAGTTTTACTTTAAAATACACAAAATATATTAAGGCTTTCTTAGATGCTTACCCGATTTACCTGAAGTAACAAGTTCCTACTTCTATGTAGAAAACCCTTTTGGTAGAGCATTGAAAATCTTCTCTGTGCATATATCACTGCATTTAATCGCTCTGCAGAGCACATATTAATTGCCAGTGGGCCGTGGAATTGTGGTTAGTGGTGCATCTTAGTGAAATTCGAGTGGGCTTGGAGGCAGGGGCACATCCTCGTGAGTCATGACTCATGAGTGTTTTCCCAGTGGCAAGCCACTAGCATCTTGCATACTCGCACTTTCGTTTTGCCAGCTTTTAAATCCCGCCTGCCGGAGAAGCAACTTTCTTGTCGAGAGCACTCATATCAACCGACAGCTGCAGATGCGGACCGCATTCACACTTATTTTCCATATGGAAGTGCTGTCGCTCCACATCCTCGCAAGATGGGCATGTCAAAATGGTTTCACGGGCACTTGAGCGCCGCTTGAATTGGCTGTGAATTAAATGTCATTTGGGGAAGCTCGACTCGAACAGCAGCGATTGCATCACCGCGATTTTAATTTGGGCTTACAGCACCGACTTAATGACACAAATGGCAGTCGACTTTCTAAAGCCCAGCGGAACAGCAGTCCAAATAGCTAGCAAATAGCAAAACACCTCCCAGGTGCTGGGCACGCATGTAAATCACTCAATGCGAGTGAGTGAGTGGCAACCGAAGAGCGACAACGCCCCATAAAACAATCAGCGCCTAATGGGCCCGCTAGCATTGCGGCCAAATTGGCGGCTAATTGGCGAAAACAACATTCCACCTGACGCAGCCGGGAGAGATTGCCTTACTGGATTGCTCGGCGGGGGATCGGCTGAATCAGCTGAAACCGAAAGTCCTACCACGGAATCGATTAAAGCCATTCCGGAAAGGTCTTGGCCAAATTCCGCACGTAGCTGCCGTTATACCGTTTTTGAGTGAGAGCAGATAAGTCGAGAAAACAGCTTGCCGGAGCCATTAAGGATTTGCGAGGCAGTATTTATCGTGTGTGACTTAACGTTGGACTGAAAGCTGCCAAAGATTAAAGAGTGACGAAGGTTTCACATGGCAAACGCACACTCATTCAATTTCGTATTCAGGTTTTTATCGCCTCAGCTTTGTATGAAACTGAATTGAAGAAACGTCACCGTAGGAAGCCAGCTATAAAAATGTAAAGTGCACTTGAAAAACGTGTTAACTTATGTGCATATGAATTTTACACGTTTGCCAATACTTGACAATTTCATATAAATTACTTAAACAATTTTAAATAAATGCATTTTAGGTATTTTACACTGCATGACTCTATGTAATCGACCGTATTTCAACTAGACTTTTTCTGAACTCTTTATTGAAAATCCTTGAGAACACTCACGACAGCCTCGAGGAAATCAATTTTAAAGTGGTGTAGTCGAAAGTGACTGTATAAAATATGTATTTTAAATTGGATTTTTCACAGAAGATTTTCTGCATTTTGTAGAAGAAAGTTGGGAAGTAGAAATAGAATTGGGAATAGAATCGACTGGAGTTATTAACTGTCACAGAGAGTCGACCTTCTCGACCATAATTCTCCATTTGTGCGCAACCATTTCAGAACCTACGATATCTGTGGCTGAATGCACCTGCCATTCGACCACGACAGATGTCCAAATGGCTCTCCCTGGGTCTCGACCAGCTTGTGGTCTCGGCCAACATGTTCTCGGCCTTTGTTGGACTTAACGGTTATGTCACATACTAACAGTTACGATGCAGCGCGTTTACGAGCATTTCGACCGTTAGCGAGCGCTGTTTGTCAACCAGCTCCACTGCCGAACTGGTAACTGGTTGTCATTGTCAAAGTTTCGTACTTTGCGGCTCCACTGCTGCTGGTTTTTAGAAGAGTCGTTGGACGAGCGTGTCGCAAGCCCCGATTGTCAGCTTATTGGCCCCGTGACCTCCCCTTTACTGTGGAGCCACTGGAAATATGGAGCATGTGCGGCGAGACATCGGTTTCCATTAGATCAGAACCCGGGAAACTTTTGTGACTTAATTGGGAAACTTCGCTTCGGATGAGCGCCGCTGCATGGGGAGCAGAATAATATGTTAGGAGCGGAATGGTGAGCAGAATAATATGTTAAAAGCGGGGAGGCTAAAATCTGATTAAACGCAGCCTCAGCCGCCCGTTGGCTCTGCGAAAAGTTTGCCTCAACTGTGCCGGAGCGGAATATCAGAGCATGAAGGTAGACCGAGCACAAACCATAACTAAGTCTTGGCCAAGGGGGCGGCGGGGCTCAAAGGGCTGGGATAGAGTTCTAATTGTAATGCTTAAAACTAATTTGCATGATGCCATTGCCACGACCCAAAAGCGTGCACTCTCTGCATAATTAATGCGGCAAAAGCGCTGGAGAGCACGGCTTAAACCGCTCGGCGATACTTTTAATGAAATATTTAGACAGACGCGGTAGGGAATACCCCAACAAAAAGAGCAAACGTACAAATGATGGCCCCTAATGGGCAGGCAACGATCTTGATGTTTCCATTAGCGGCGGAGTTATTAGCTTACTGTCTCTTGAAATCCCCAGATGCATCTTGATGCTCAAACAAAGCGAGCTGAGCGGTCTTGGCTCACAAACAACCGCACTGCATTTCATGGGAAAAATTCAATTGCCAGAGCAGAAAGCAGAAAGTATTTTCAATCAGTCAGTGCAGCTTATGGGTGGTTTCCATTGAATGCGATTCATCAAAGGCTCTTAAGAGCGCAAGCACACAAACGAAAAAAAATATAAATACATATTTCGAAGATATGGGTCAAGCTGCGCTACTCCCATATATTAAATTGTAGTCGGTTTAATTAAGTGGTGGTTTTTGCTCTGAAGCTATACAAGTTCAATTGAAATATTTTTGTTTCATAAAAAGTAAATCAAAGTGCTAACTTTGCCTGAATTGGTATTAAAAGAAATCAGTTAGGCATATTTATAATTTTAAATTAAATACATTTTGTTCTTTATATTTTCCTACTTAAAATTCGCCGTTCAATAAGTGTTCATTTGATTGCCTTGTCACATAAATGTTTTGCAACTACAAATCAAATACAAAATTATTCTTGATAACGATTATTGGATTTTGGCTTAAAATGGCACAAAATTTTTCAGTTTACTTTAAACGACAACTTTAAAATTTAAATAATGATATGCAAAATAAGAAAGGAACCCTTTGCAGGGGGAAAGTAGATAAGCTGCCAGCGACTGCACATCCTTAATTTCCAAATTTCCGCCTCGTCATTTCACTGAATCCACATATCTGTTGCTGAAACCTTTAGTGCACGTTGTCATCACGAAAACATAACCAATTTGGTGCGGGATCGGAAGTACCATCTCCCTCCTCTAAACGGTTTCCCAGTGGGGAACATTAGAGGAGCGCGGTAGCATTCTTACCACCTGCCAACACGTGTTTTTCAATTAAGTTTCCAGTCGACTGCAGACGGCAGACTCTTAATCCTTGAGTGGCAGAGCAAACAAATAAAGTAGAAAACAAGAAGTTCGCTGATTCGCTTTGTGCAGCCCAATTGCTGGGTGCAATTTGCGGCTGTGCAGCCAACAAACTCAGTTCTGTAATAGTTATTCGTGCCATTGCCGCTCAGTGTGGAAAATCGAAAGTGAAAATGCAACACGAAATAACGTGATCTGGGCTGGGGTCCACAGCCCGTAGTCCGTAGTCTGAAGTCTGAAGTTAGCGCCAACGCATCTGAAGTGCCGGGCTGGGTAAACACAAACAAAACAGTGTACATTTTCACTTTTCCCCAGCGAAGAGCTCCAGAGCCCCAAAGTGTGGAGCGGGCGTGGACGGAATGGAATATGGAGTGGAGTATGGCCAACATGGCGAGCGGCGTGTCACAGAACGAGTGCGACGATTGGCGGAGACAAATAAAAATTTGACGACGTGCTTTGTGTGCCGAAGCGGGGCTGTTTTCAAGGGGTAATGGTGGGAGGTGGGTGGTGAGTGGTGGGTTGTGATGGGCACGAGCCCCTTCAATTGAGATGCCCATCAAGTGGGAAACGACAAATCATTCACATTACCCAGCCTGATTAGCGGCCTGGTCGAAACAAACAACGTTATTTAAACTGCACTCTAAAAAACAATACTTCGGAAACAAAAAGCCTTACTATTAAGCTTAATGCATTGGGAAGATAATTTATTTTGGTATTCTTATAAAAAGAACTTATAGAGCCGCCCTAAATTCAAGCTTGCTATTCTTCAATTATCCATAAAAAAAATTTGTTTACATTATAATAGACTGAGAAATAAAGATTAGACTTAATATTTTTTTCTTCAGCAGTATTTCTGCTCTAGATGGAACACCCTCTATAATATAGAAAGCTTTAATTTTTAAAATTCACTATGGTTATTAAATAAATAATTTAAAAAACCGATAATATAAAGATTTATTTATTTAAATACCAGATTTAATAAAGAAACTTATTGGAATCAGTATTTATTGAACTAGCTTTTCCAATGCAAATACAAAATACAAAATACACAGCACGGGGAATCTGCTTAAAAATATTGATAAAATTGTGGGCAAAGGTAATTCAAAACCAGTGCTGATTTGCACCTCGCTTCACAGTAAAATTGATTTAAGTGCTCTACAAAATTAGCAGAAATTTACGCACGAATCGAGAAAATTGTGGAAATAATTTGACGAAATGGTAATCATTAAGTTACTTCTATTAACCCGGCAAATTAGCGAGCAAAAGCCGAAGCGAATTTAATCTCAAATTATATGAAAACTAAAGTAAACACTTTAATGGATTATTGAGGTTTATTACTTTATGCACGAAATCCAATTAAATATCAAGTTACTCCTTTAATGAGTGTAAGGCTAACATATCTTTAACTATGAGGGGAGGTATATAGTACAACCAGCTAAAGAAAAATGCAAATGTGGACATAAATAATAATTTAATAACTCAGTCAGCAAAAGGTCGGATAGCAAAGCTTCATGTGCGTGTATTTGCAGACTATTTTACTATTTGCACGTTTTGTTTGCTCCTTTTCCATCCTGTTTCTTATACAAGTATCTACGGCAGCCATTAAAGGATAAGAATAACAAGCAAAAAAACTACCCAAAGGGATTACTTTTAATGAAAATATGAGGAAGAGAAATCTCTTAAAAGAGGTACTTTAAATAAACAAACACCAGTGCAATGGGCAGGAATTTCTTAACGAGTCACATTTTATAATAAAATATTTATCATAAAAATTATTTATAACACCGATTATTTATGATTTCATTTTATTATCGAAATCTGTTTGAGTTGAGAATTTCCTCAATGTTTTAAAGAAACAATACAAACTTGAAAAAATACTTATCTTCTTAAAATATTTTTTTTGACTTTAGACATGCATTAAGATAAATGTCCTTCGGGACTGTTAGAAGAACAATATTTTTAACTGTGCTTTCTTGTACCTTTATCCTTCAAGGACGCACGTAATTCGCTTATCAGGATGAGAGTTTTATTTCGGTTGCCTGTCACGTTTCGAAAAGTTATTTATTCGTGTGCCAACCGCGCTGAGTTCGCGGAAATTGGCCACAATCCATTGCATTGAACAAGAGAAACCCCATTTAAACCGAGCAATTATTCATTACAGAAAGGCGAACTGAATCGAGTTGGATCGAGGACCTTGGCATGCGAGTGCAGCTGCAAGGCGAAGGATAATAAAAATGGGGAGCCAGAACATCGACGGAGCGAAATTAAAAGCAAACAGCCACAGAAAGCGGCGATGCAGTCCGCTGTTGTTTGGTATTATGTTCCTCTGCAAAGTAGCGATGGCATCGTCAGATGTTGCCGAATCAGGAGCCCCGTACAGCCAGCCGCTCACCACGATGGCAGGACAGCCCCGCAATGATGACACCTTCCGACCCATTCTGCCCATCGACATCAGCCCGGAGTTCATCTCCCGCAATGTGTTCACTAAGTCCGGGCAGTACAGGGTTTTCCAGCCTGCTGAAAGCGAGAGCGATCTGCGTTTAACGGTGGCCATGGGTCGCAGGAACTTTAAGCATTCTACGGAATCACCCGAAAAAGAGCAGTCTGGGATGCCACCAGTGAAGACGAGCAACAGCTCTGCGGCAATAGAGGCTGAGTTAAAGAGTCTGGAAGATCTGCTGCAGGACTATGTGGAGCAGTTCTTTAGCCAGGGAAAGTACGAGCCCACTCCCGGTTTGGTTTTAGCCCTTCAGCAGAACCACTCGAAGCCAGTATCCGAGAACATAAAGCGCACCACCCGCAGCATTTTGGAGGACACCAATGTAGAGCTCAATGTGCCGAGAGCCTTCGAAAGTGCCCGACTGCTCTTCTTCAGCGGTAAGTAAAAGTTCGATTACAAAAAAAATATTAACAACTCATCATCTCAACTAGAGCACCCAAATGATTCTCTCTGGAAACTAAAACCACATTTTTAACACACACTCTCATTCTGCAAAACATTTCCGCAATGAAATTACTTCTGCGTTCAATTACACATTTTAGTTGTCTTAATTTAGTAAAATGAATAGCTAACTATCATGGCTGAAGTGTTCAAATGATTCTGTTTGGAAATTAAAGCCACACTTGTACCTTACTCTCTTATTTTTCAAAACATTTCTTCTGATCAATCCCATATTTGCTGACAAAACACCGAAGCTTAAAAAGCTGTTGACTTGAGCACAGTTGTTTTTTTTGTTGAAGAGATTTTTTTTTTTTTGGTTTTAAAACCGCTCTTGAAATGATTGCTGTGGTGCTTTTCCTAACGATACACCAATTTCCTCTGCAGGCTTGAAGAAGGTGATGTGGCCCATCTACATGGGATTGCAGGTGCTGAAGAGCGTGCTGTTTGCCATGTTCCTGCCGACCATAATAAGCAGTGTTAGCCGGCTGATTGGCAAGGGTAAATCTATGTCAGCTGTGAGCGCCCGAATAAATTTAAATATTTGTGTTCATTTGGGACAGGCATCACATCCGGCTCGGCTGGCTCAGTGCCACTTTTCATCCGCCCCATGGAACCGCCGCAGGAACTGGACTTCCGGGACAACAGCATGAACTTTGATGACGACAGCAAGTTTTCCCTGGCCGACGAGGGCAAAACTCCGGCTGGCTACGAGTACAACGCAGGTGGGCTACCGCAGATACGAGAGAGTTTTCCGACGACATTTTCATTTTGGAAAATGCTTACTTTGCAGAGGCTTCCCAGCAGCAGGCGCAGTACGCCCAGGTGAATGGAAACTCGCTGAACCAGGCAACCCTTTCGCGATATGGAGGCCAGCAGATGATGCAGGACACCTATCTAAGTGCCCTGCAGAGCATCGGAGCCGCCTCCTTCAAGAACTCCCAGAGCATGTCGGGATCCTTTAGCGCCGGAGCAGGAGCCGCTCCAGGAATGACTAAGAAGCCGGCGCCGGCGGTGATGAACACCTTCCAGAGCTTCCAGAAGGTGCCCAGTTCCTCGCTGCTCCTCTCCAACTACGATCCCTTCTACAGTCCACTGTTATCTCGACTGGACTCGGTCTTCGCCCAGCTGAAGCTGAATCCGGAGAACGAGGCCTGCCGCGAGAAGCTCATCTGCCTGATGTACGCCAACCCCGCAAAGTATGCTCCGTACAGCAACCTGGTCTCCGCTCAGTTGAGCAGGTGAGTTTGTACTCCTCCTGGAAGTATGCTGTAGTCGGTAACAGTTGGATAAGTACAGTGGGGAGTCGACTGGGGGAATAGCAATTAGAGAACATTAATCCCTGTGGGATAGAAAGCAATTGTAGGACAAACCTAATTAAGAAACAAGCGTCAAGGCAGTTTTCTCCTTAATTAATGAAAACAAGTTTAAGAAATTTTAAAAACATTTTACCACAAAATAAAACAGTAAAATGTTACTTCATATTATTTGAACTAGTTACTTCACATTTTAGCTTTCAAATTTTTCGTAAACGAAATAACAAGAACAAGAATGTAAACGGTAAGAGTAGTATTTTATAAAAAACCAATAACTAATGCAGTATGCTTGTAGTATATGATAAACATAAAAATAATTCATAATGCCGCATATTGTTTGATAGTGCACCTAGTTCTCAATATCTTATATATCTTAAGCAAAGGTCAAACATTGAACTTCAACAAATTTGTAAAGTTATTTCAACCGAATATTCCGCCTTTTTCAGGGAACTCAACGAGCTGCGGAAGCCGACGTCCGACAACCCGGACATCCTGCGCTTCTTCAAGTACATGCGGGCAGCGAAGGACGGGCAGGACGGCATCGACTGCGACGAGTCCTTCGCGAAGTGCAAGGAGCTGAAGGACTTCGAGAACCCGGCGATGCTGTCCACCTACAACGACATCAACAAGCTGGTCCAGGCCCGCAAACTGGCGTAGAAGACGGGTCGTGAAGTCAAGTCACAGAGCAGCAACGAGATGACAGCCAAGTTCGCGGGAGTCACGTCAAAAGTCCGTCCGTCCAAATGGCTGACTGGCTAACTGGCTGAGTGCTTTCTGGGAACGGGCGGTGTAATTATGCAAATCGTACTTTAGATAGAGTAGCCTAGCCATATATAAAAGTTCGTTAGACGCTCCAGCGGCGGCAGCTGTCAGCGGTGGGCGGGAATTGAAGGGAATCGAAGGGAAAGGGGAGGGGCTTCATTAACACGTTGTAAATAGAAAAGTTTGTTTCGTAGTTTAATTAGAGCGAGCACCAATTACTGGATGATGCTGTTATTTTAGCCATTTAGGGGAATTTCTTTAAGTATTTATTTCTAGCCTACGAATATGTTTAAATCTATCCTACCTATTTATAATATTTATTCCGTTGTTGTTATGCGATTAGTCAGCAAGAGTTGTTCAATGTCCTAAATAATCAATAAATTATGTTGTACCACCAAATATTATACCTTTAAAGACTTAAATATTGCTGGGTTGAAAGGAGAAACATGAGCATAGCTTTTTGGGAGCGTTCATGATTCCAATAACGACTAGGAGGAGAAGCTTGCCTGACGACTGGGGCATTCAAGCACCTTTCCGGATTCATTGCAAATATTTGCATTCAAGAGAAATCTCCACCTGGCTTTGAGAAAGGAGAAACTTAATTATAACCAAACACCTGCTTTTGTGTAATGTGTGCATATCAAAAAGGAGCATAGATACGTACATTTAATCAGTAGAATGTTATCCCTTCAATGCATATAATCAATGGAGTGTTTGTTTAAGTCAAAACCTGTTATTGAATTTATCAAAGGAAAATTTATTGCAGACGCCCTTATTTGCATAAACACGCATGATATGAATCATAGTTTTCCTTTTTAATACTTGTATCCAACGACTGCACAGGTTGAAGGATCTTTAATGCTTATACTGTATGTATTCAATTAAATGGAAAAGCCAAAATTAATTTCCCACAGAATCAGTTAAATGAAACGTATCTGGCTATAATGTTATGAGAAGCTGAATTCGGTATAAAAGTTTGCAGGCAAAACTAAAATCAATTTACCTGCTTGAATTTGTATTCTTTTTATCTTTTTTATTGTTGAAGGACGGTGCGAGAATAGATTTACAATGTCGGAAACGCTGTTTTCCTGCAAAACCTTTTAATAAAATATATTCCATTATTAATATTTAAATCTAAATTTCTCTAAAATAATATTGTGTCTTTAAGAGAAATTTAGGTTTAAATATTTTTAATCTATTATATTATTTATTATTGATATTTATTATTTATTATTATTATTGTTAAAGGCGAATACGTGTACCTCAACGTAAACTAAGCTTTAATTTAGAGTCTAATTTCTGAGTTATGTCCGTCATGCAAGCAAAGGCAACATGTTTTAGTATGTAAATTATAAAGTTATAAACAGTTGTCATGGGACCCTTTTATGAAAATGTGCACCAATGCGAAAGCTTTACCAATTGTTCAATTTGGGTTTTAACGAGTAAGCATATCACAAATTTTCCAAACAGTAACTTTTCACATAACTTTTTGAAAACATTTTGCCGGTCACTAAAGAGTCTTTTGTCTTTTTTTGGGTGCGCTTATTACAAAATATTTTTCCTGGTACTTGTGCATATGTGTGCGCATATAAAGGTAAATTACTAATTGTAATTGGTCATGTAGTTTTTCCTGTAGTTTCGTGATTTTAAATTAAACAAAGTTCGTTTAGTTCAAAAAAACTTATTCAATGGCAGGCACTACACAATTTTTTCTAAGGGCTTGCACGCAATTTGCTTAGCTCTTCTGAATCTGGTTCTGCTCACTGGGGAGTAACTTACATGCGTATTCTATTTGCGATTGATGAATTTCGCGCTGGACAAATGCCCCAAAGGACCGCCCAAGTGGATGATTTAATTACGCGGCAGGGGGGCAACGTGTCCGACGCAACAGAAGAGTCCTCAACCGCTGGCCACGCCCCCCGCCACGCCCCCGGTTCCCCACAACCCCTCGATCTGACGGAAACAATTTCCGACTGCAGGTATCTGTTTGCGGCCTTGTTGGCAATTCGTGCCACTGCTGACCGGCGAAAATCGGGAAATCGTGCGAGAGCGGCGACGGAAAAACCCACAGTAACGCTGCCTCTTGTTTTGATTTTTGTGGCAGGCACTTGGGGAATTTCCCCCAGTTGCTCCACAATCCGCAATCGCCGCCGCAGGAAATTGCAGAGAATGCAAAACCGATGCAAGCATCACCGCACGGTTTGTTCACATTTCGCCCTGACTTCGAACGTGGGCGTTTCCAAAAACCCGTTTGCAGTAAAAGTAATAAGTGTCTGTGAGGCAAGAGGCCAAAAATTACATAATCTTTCGCTGGCTGTGACGTACGTTTTCCCGGAATGAGTCACTTCGGCGGTGTGTTGTCTGTTGTCTCTTTAAATCAAACTCGAATTAAAGCCAAGGCCTCGACGTGCGCCACAATAACTTTGGGATTTTCTCAAGGCACACGAACGCTCGCCCAGCCGGACGCAAAACACACAGGTCGTTGTCTCTCACCCACGGAGCCCCAGTGAACCGATCCGCTGATCGATCGCGTCCACAACCTACCGCAAGTGCGAGCGTGTTGAGATCTGCCTCTTGGCCATCGTCGTTGCGGGCCAAAAGCGACGACAGCGTCTCGGCCATTGTCTCACTATTGACTTTGCTGAACTCCTCCTCTCGCCACTTCTCGCATTTCATATAAAATCTTTGCCGGCCAGCAGCCAAGGCACAGTCGCTTTTGGCCAGCAGAAAGACAGAGACGCGTGGAAAAAGCGTTAAGGATACTCAAACCCAAAAACCACCTCAGACGTTTATAGGAAACAGCAAAAGGTAAACAGCGGAAAAAACCGAAGTGAACAAAAAACGTACAAATAAGTGAAGTGAAGTGAAATGAACTGCGATAAATTGTGTAATCACCAAATGAAATGGATGTGGGAAACGCTAATATTACCAATTTCAACGACCATTCAGCTGTGGCTAACGCAGTAATTCAATATTTTAAACATATTTGCATAACCGGAAGCTCCCTTAAACAAATTAAATTTAACCAAAATCGATTTTGAAAAGCTTCATGGAAAGGCATTCTTTCTTAAACAATCCTTATAAAGTAGATTAGTAATAAACTGTCATAACAAGCATCTAATTATTGCACATTTACAAGCTAAATCAAAAACAACATTTGGTGCTGATAAGAGTTTACGTAATTAAATAATATTAAAGTCTTATAATTTTGGTATAGTTTTTGTTACACACAGTAGGATAATATAAACCCTAATAATTGCGAAAAGTTTACCGCTATTGTAAAAGGTTATTTTTTACTGTCCATTTACTTATATTTCGCCAAATGTATACAAACATGGTGATCGGTTCAAGGGTGCGCATAAATTTTTATGTCTTTCCACCCGATAAAGTCATCATTTCCATTTATCACCACTGTAATTTCGTAATATCGACCATCGCCAGCCAGCATTTCATTGACCTTCAGAGGCGAATGCAAATGGAGAAGCAAAACAAAAAGCCAACAAACGCGACACAGTGACCAAAATTTTTTAACGCTTTCGACATCCCTTTCGGGATTCACTGACTGCGCAAAATATTCGCTATGAATCACTGGGTGGATTTATATACGGTTGGTGCATATGTGTCATACATTTCAATTCTGTAAAATAATAGCTTCCATCAAAAATTTAAATAAGATGAACATGTGCCTCACGTACACTGATAAAAAAAACATACAGAAAAGTTTGCCTGCCTTTGGGCGGTTGATTTTATGTTGCCATAAACTTTCTATTCTTCCGCCATAAAGTAATCTTTGCTGCATACTGTTTAGCGCAACAAAAACTTTTCTCCTGGACATTGAACTTCTGTAAAGTTGGTGGCCAAGCACAGAAGCAAATGCGAATTTGGCCCAAACCACCAGCGGATTGCCACACAATCGGCGCGCTGATGAGGCCCAAACTGGGTTTGGCCCAAATGGGAGCGCAACGAAAGTAAAAGCCATTGGTCGAGTAAGTCCCTCGAGCATAACGAACTTTTCGTGAGCGATTTGAGTGGGCGCCTATTTTAACACAGTGGCCATAAAAAGATTTCAACTAGTGGTTTTTTTCATATTGAATTTAATCCACTTTTAGTCGCTCCCCTTTAAGCAGCCTAAAATGTAAAAGTTACTACAAATTTGGCAATTAGTTTTGCATAAATAGCTATTTTGAAACGGCATAATTTGTGTATGAATAATCACAAACTTACCAATAAAAAATATTTATTACAATAACTCATTTCAAACTTCATTTTGTTAGCTTAGAAATCCATTTTAAACCACTTAGTTACCACGTTTGACCCACTGTCTAAATTGCGCGTTGAGCACGCTTTTGCATTTCTGGCTGACCGGTCTTAGCCGACCTTTTTAAAGTACATTAGGCGAGCTGTTTCTGCGCTTTAGCACAAGGTTCAATTACGTGCATTTGCCGCCTCATTGCCGCCAAAGGGTTAAGCCGGCAAACCGGTCCGCCTGCATTTCACTTCTTCTGTGGGCTTATCTGTAGTTTTGGGTGCAGAAAGCTCGCCCCGAGAAATTTGAGCAAACTCAGGCAAACAGTAAACATTGAAGAGCAAAGAGTGGCAAGCTGCGGCTCAAGTTGGCTTGAAAGCGAGAGTTATTACGTGTGAGTGGCTAATTGCACGGCGTGCTATTGGGGCCTCCGAGCCATCTGAAAAGTGTGTCAGTTTTAAGTGGCTGGCCAATCCGCTAAGCCAATAATCAGTTGCCAAAAAAGCGGCTCTTGGATACATACTTTTTTTGACATCGCGTGACAGAGCCGAAGAGGCTGGAATAATCGGGTGATTGAGAGAAAACTTCAGCGGGGTTTCAGCAAAAAAATGTGCCAGTGGTTTCGACTAAGCCATTTCGTCTTCTTCAGCTTACAGCTATGGCAATGAGAGCGCTCGTCTTATTGGCCGCCATCGGTTTGGTGGCCGGCGAAGGTCTCCGGCTGCCGGACCAGCAGTCGTCCAGCAACATCCAGCAGGTGTATGCGCCGCAGCCGCAGATCCAGCAGATCCAGCAGCCCCAGCAGATTCCCCAACAACAACAACAGCAACCAGGAGTGGGAGAGGAGCGCGGAAGGTCCTCCCTGCTGAGCATCTTCGGACTGGGCAACGACAACGATCCCTACTTGGCCAGGACGAACAGCAACTGCCTCGGCGGCGACCTCTCCGAGTGCTTCAAGACCCAGGCCCTCAACACCTTTGACGAGATCTTCTTCAGGGATCATTACAAGTAAGCATCTGCATTCATATCATCCTGAAAACAAAAGTTCAACCAATAATTTAAAATACGATCTGCAAGCAAACTACCAAGTCGTGATTTACCCCTTTGTTTATTAATATCTTTCAAAATCACTTCACATTAAAAAAGAAAAGTCATGCCTTTCCATTTAAAGCCCTCGTTTTCTTTCCTCAAAACAATTTGCAAAAAAATGAACTTTTAAAAAAGTAGCTTCCCCTCAAGAACAAATGTTTCCATTCACAAAATAGGAAGTAAAGTTTTCCATTAAAACTTTCCATAACAAAAGCATCCCTTAGCGAAATTGTTTATTAAATCCCCGCTCTAGAATTAATTTTTCTTGGTTTTACACAACTTGACAGGGAAATTAATGAAGCCATCCCTTTGTTTCCAGGCTCACAGACTTTGCTCGCGTGGTGAGGTTGCCGGAAACCCAGCAGAGGTCCTTGCAGCAGGAGCCCTTTGAGTACGCCGAGGATCCGGAACTGGAGACAGCTGACGACTCCTGGAACCAGCTTCTGAAATATGGACTGCGAAGGGCCGAACGGTAAGCTGTCACAATTAGCCAAATGACTGCGGCCCGTGCCGGATGCAAATTAAATTGGGTCCGCCAAGTTGGCCGGGCTTTTGCATAAAATATGAGATTGTTATGAATATGTAAATGACACGACTCCCTCTCCTTCCGCAGTTTTGTCAAGTCCACGGCTCTGGAGGTCGAGTGGCCCGAGGAACTCACTGAAGCCGGTCGTTACGAGGCCCGATTCATCGGAAACGACATTGATGGCGAACTGGACCTCATCGACGATGGACAGCGTGCTGGCCACTTCTGTAAGTCTTCAAATTGTTTCCTATTGTTGATAGTCAAGCATTGTACATATTTATTTATATGGGAAAGAGAAGAGCATAAAATTGTTTTCCTTTCAAAACTATTCTAGGAAAGTTTTCTTTATTCTACGAATGGGCGTTTTGTAACTCCCATCTTTAAAGTTTCCTTAACATTTTGTTTAATGTTCAACAAAAACATTATGACGTAAAGAAGACTATGCTTAAAACAACTTCGAATAGATTTAAGGAGATTTTATATAAAAAATGAATCTCATATTCATTATTTACAATTGTACAAGCACTATAACATCCATTATAACTATAATTTCCTTTTGCAGCCCGCAAGAAGCTTAAGAAGATGATCATCCCCCTGCTTCTGGTGCTGAAGATCTTCAAGCTAAAGCTGCTGCTCTTCCTGCCCTTCATCCTGGGAATCGTGGGCCTGAAGAAGATCCTCGGCCTGGCCGCCATCATCCTGCCCGGTCTGTTCGCCTACTTCAAGCTGTGCCGCCCGCCAGGTGGCGTCAGCGGTGCCTTCGGCGGCGGATTGTCCAGCCTGTTCGGCGGCAAGCCCAGCTTCCCCCAGTACAGCCCGCAGGGAGTGGGAGCGGCCACCTACTACCACCACCACGAGCACTTCGAGGGCGGCCACGGAGGAGCAGGACCCTACTACCGCCAGGAGCCCAGCTTCGCGAAGCCCTACACCGACTACTACAGCAAGAGCTACCAAGGCCAGGAGGTGCAGGGTCAGCAGCAGGTGCCCGGCAACTCGGTGAGCTTCGGGGATCCCCAGGAGGCCGCCTACAACGGGTACTATGGTCGCAACTCCGGCAAGGACATTGCCGCCGAGCAGCAGCCACAGAAGAGCTAAGTTCGAGGACCTTGACCGCGAGCACGTTGTTATTTATTTGGCCCTCGGCCTCGCTGCATTCCTATAAGAATATTTATTACGATACTTGTACTTGTAAATAAAACAAAGTTTTAAATGGATTCCAATTAATTTCGTGCCGGGGAAGGAAGGAAACCATGGTTGCCGTGGGCGAGAAGGGGAGCGTTGTTTCCAATTAATGGCAACAATTTCACTACAAAACGCTTCTCCAAATTCTGCACTTGCTCTGCTTTTACTCACACTGGAGCCGATAGAAATAAAATGCAGCTTTTAATTAAGGCAATGAAATGCCAGGGCGAGAAACTGAGGAAAAGTGGATTGGCGTGTTTTTCGGCTTGGCTTTTCCTGACCGAGGGTTGCCATAGAGCTCGCAAAAATGGCAATAAATCATTTGAGGCCCAAGGCTCCAGTAGATAAATCTCTCTTTCTTTCGGTTTTAATTGTGTAAATATTAGTAAGGTTGCTAAAAATCAATATTCTCTCATCCATTTTCTTGCCAGCTTTGATTAATTATGATTAAGTTGTAACTATTGAAAACATTTCACATTAATCATTGCTAAACTCTATTTTGTATTAAAGACTCCAATTTTTGTAAACAAGTTGTAAAAACTATTAATTTAATTATAAGTTTCTTGAATTATTAAATAAAAATAACTATAATTTTTGGATTTCTCAATTTGACATGTTTCTATACTTTAACTAAATTCAGATTTAAGCCAAAGCAGTAAATAATTTCTGGTAAATGAATTTATCAAGTGAAGAACTTGAGCTGCAAATGGACCAAATAAAAATTGTACAAGTATTTATAAATGTTTGGGTATTTATTTGGGTATTTTTTATTAAAGATTGGATTTCAGTCTTGGGTATAAAATGTTTCTTCTATTTTAAATTCCACGACCCTCCCTCTCATAAATATTCAAACTCCCCACGATTGGCTTGGCCAACTTCAAAGTCAATGCCAACAGCAAAGCAGTGATATTGGGAGCTGGGTAGCTGGGTAGCCGAGTAGCCTGTGTCTGGTGTTGTCAACGCCGTCGGAGGAGTCGACTGGCCTGGACCACATTTTCCAAAAGAAAGCGCAGCAGCCGCTGCTGATGGGCTGCCAGGCGGCTTGCTTCAGATTGAGAAATTGTTATGACTCCAACCGGGGACCAGTTAGGCTATAGCACTCAGAAAATACAATCAGATTCTATAAAATATTGGTTAATACAATTTTTTAAGCTTAAATAAAAAAATATTACTTTTTAAAGTATATAATATATTTAAAGATATATGTGAAGTGCGCTTTATTGTGTATTTGAATATTCAATCTAACAATCTTTCAATAATAAATGCATAAACAATAATTTTCTGAAATAATAAATGACAAGAACAGTAGTGTAAGGAACAAATACAACAAATCCTATTCTTAAAGAAGAAAAATCTTTGATTTTTACTACATTTAATGCATAATAAAGATTAAGATCCAATAATCAACTTTAAATTCATAGTTGTATACTAGCACTTCATATTTCTCCAAGTGCACTAGTTGCCTCAAGTGGCCTGGGCGGACGCAATTGGCTTTTGGTGAGGTTTTATTTGGAAGCTGCGATCGGAGGAGCCAAACGGTATATGGACAGATCGCCTAGCGGTTTCTGCGACCACATGAACACACCACTTTCGAGGCCCGGCGTCCCACTTAAGTGGCTCGCTGACCAGCCGGCTAGCCTACTTCCAGATCGGTGGAAATTCTATGGAAACTCGAGCGGTCTTGCTGCTCTTGCGGCTGGCCACCAATTTTCGGTGAGCGCAATAACTTTTGGTCTTGGCAAAGAAGTTGATTGAATTTCCCCAGTAAGTGGCCAACGGACGCACAACCTGTTGGGCCGTCACGCCCGCGGGACACGTTGGATCCGTAATAAATGCAATAAATTACACTTGCTCTTAATCTGTTCCGGCTAAAAGCAAAAGGCCGGGCTGCATTTAGCAGCTCGCGTGAGGCGGAGTGAAAATTCTTGGGTCGAAGGGCGGTTCCTCGGAGGTGGGAAAATCACACAATTTCCACCGCACCGCCGCAGTTGGAAGCCACGATGGGGGGTCGGATGTGCACATAAGTTGATTAAAAAGCTAACTTTAAGATGGGATGAAAAGTTATTGGAAAAGTAGAGCAGTTAAACAAACAGAAAACTTAAACACAAAGTATACGCTGTTGAAAAACCAAGAAAACTTTAAACTTGTTATTAGGAAATTAACTTTATATTTTGGGTTACTTGTTGTTTTTGATGCAATGCATGGCTTTATCAATTTAATCAACTTAATCAAGCTTAGACTGCGTGTTACCCCCTTTAGGGACGCCACTGCTTTTGAGTGCTCCGCGGAATGAAGAGCCTTTGACTAATTGGAGCGACTGAAAAGTTTGCAGGTTTGCATGCGTGTTGTCAATGGCAGTCTGGTTTTCGCTGCTGATTTTCTGGCCACTTTTCCGAACGCTTCCCCCGCGACAGAGGCTGTGTGGGAAAATTGGCCTGTTTGTTGTTGGGAATTAGGTCTGTTGTTTACTTTCGACTGGCTTTGTTTTTGTTGACGACCCACGCGGGCAAAGACAACAAAGGCAGCGCAGAACTTGTCGCCGGGAAAACAAAAACAAATCGTTAGGTGGTGGCGGAGTGCGGTGGCAGGTTCTGAGACAAGGCCAAAAGAAGAGTCCCCGGAAACTGGCCAAACCAGTGGGTCTCCGGGTCTCCGGGCCAAGGAGCTGCTCTTTTTGGCGACCAGTTCCAGGTGCAAAATCAACATCGACTGGCAGCAAAAACAAACGCCGGCGGCGCAGTCGGCGTCGACTGCGGCAGAGACCTGTATTGTGTTTGCGGCGCTTTTGGCCGCTTTTCATATAAAATCGAATTCGCTGGCGGAAAATTCGCATTAGGTTTTCTATCAAGGCGACGATGTCAACAGCAAGAGCGTAGCACTTCCAGCAGAGCGAAGACGCGGGCGTTTTGTGAGAGTGTGTGTGTACAAGAGCCGAAGGATAAGGCCAGGATAAACCCAAAATACGTGTGTGACACTGAGTGATAACCAAGAAAACGTCCAAGAAAACGTACAAAAACTGAACGGGTCAACCCAAACGAAGACCAACGATGCAAACATTCAAGGTCTGCGCGCTGCTGGCGTTATTTTTCGCCCTCGTTTCCGCCCGCGGCAGCAAAAGGCGGGATGGCAGCGTAACGGTAAGGAAATGTCCTGGAAAGTTCGGAAAAGTTTCGAGTGTGGGCGATAGAACGGGCATTAATTGCCAGTGACAAGGAAACCGTTTTCGGCCAACAGGACAACGAAAACAGTGACCTTTGTTTGGACTTTCCGAATTTATTGCTTAATCTGAAAGTTCATCGCCAGTGAATCAAGAGAAGGATATAAATTCAAAAAGGGGTGCACAATTTACCTTTCCAAAGTAAAAAAATAACATCTAGTTGGAATTTTCTATGTCCGCATTAAAATTTGACCTCGGGATAATTTAAAGATTAAAAAGATAAAAAGTCTTTGAAAAAAAAATGTATTGTCTTTTTTCATAATAAAAGTAAAGCATCACCAATTTTAAATGACATTTTTCCGACATTTATTTATAAGATTCAACTTCAACAAAATTATTCAACGTGTTTATTTTTGGAGATAAATCTTTGTTTTTTATTTTAAGTGAGAAAAGACAATTTTTATGCGTTATGGAAAGTTAAAAATGTTGAAAGTTCATTTATTTTTACTTAGATTACTGACAGTGAGCGACGCAATATTGAGGATTTCCTGTTGGCCAAGTTAAAGCAGAATTGCAGGCAGGAAGATGACACTGCCTGCAGGATGATCAAGATGTCAATTGTTATGAACCATCTGTACCTAAACACCCGACTTGACCTTGGTGACCGCGTCAAGGTCACGGAAAACTGGTAAGTTGAAATTAAATGTGATTATTTGCTATTTGCGTAAGTCCCAAAAACAGGTGGAACGCCTAATAAGATTAATATTAGCTATTTTGGACTAAGCAACGAAGAAAAATTGCTTACAACATTTACAAAACACTAAATAGATTTTAAAGTTTTTTAAAAGTATTTAAAAGTAACAAATTGTTTTAAAATTTACCAGTTCAAAAAATGTAATTCTAAAATAATTTTTTTTAATTTCTTAAAAATGCGATTAAGTGTTGACAATAATGACAAAATTGTGTAAATTTCTAAGCAAATAAAAGTTGCAACCCTAAGTAGTTTAATATATATATTAAAATGCAATTGGAGGAAACGGAGTTGACAATCCATGAAAAAGTTAAATATTTTGCGATGAAGCTTATTTTTATCGCGATCCAACCCGCATTTCCTCAGGAACATCTCGATGGTGCCGGATGATCCCGAGGTCAATCAGCTGCTATCCCGCTCCCTGGGCTCCGACCAGGAGACCTTCGCCCTGCTGATGGCCAACAAGCTGTGGAAGTTCATCCGCTCGCGCTCGCTGCGCTACAAGTTCTCGGAGAACGCGGACTTCGTGATGAACAGCGATCCGGAGGGTAGTCTGAATGTGGGCGTGTCGGTGCGCCCGCTGGAGGCGTTGCAGGAGGGGCGTGGCAAGATGAAAAACATGGGCCCGCTGCTGATGATGATGGCGGCCAAGACGGGAATGGTGGGGGCCCTGCTGCTGAAGGGTCTCTTCCTTTTGGCCGGAAAGGCGCTGATCGTGTCGAAGATCGCTTTGCTGCTGGCGGTGATCATCTCGCTGAAGAAGCTGCTCTCCAGCAAGAAGACCATCGTGGAGGTTCCGTCCCACCACGACAGCTACAGCTCCGGCTGGTCGAGGGCCTTCGACGGGTTCGTGGAGGGCCTGGTCGACGTGCCCGCCGACGTCTTGGCCAAGGAGGTGCAGCACCAGCAGGACCAGGCCCAAAACCTGGCCTACAGCGGCCAGCAGCAGCCGGGGAAAGTGGCGCAATAAAGCTAGTTTTTACTACCTTGTTTTGTATGTCATTAGATCAGGAATGAACTAAATTGGGTTTTCCTCTAACACTTTCCTGCTGGCTTGGGGAAATTGCTCTCACGCGCTCTCTCTCTCTCTCCCTCTCTTTTAACTATATCTCTTGATCTCTTGCAATCACTGCTTTCTCCACTTTCCCCTAGAATTACGCTCTCTCTCTTTCTTTCTTATCCACTATTTTTCATCTCTCTGTTAATCTCTCGCTCACTTTCACTTTTTTTCACAGTTTTCTCAATGATGCTCATTCTCTCATTTGTAATTTATTTAAATACTTACACTTACACTTAATTTATTTATTTATTTATTTTAAATTAACACTTATTGCATAAATAAAAAGCAATTGCAAATGATTACAATTTCTGAACAACTTTGTGTCCAATTATTTATTCATTTTTTTTTTAGTTTTTGTAGCACTTTGACTGCTAATTACAAAGACATTGAACTAGACTAAATGTGTGCGCCAGGTTTTCACTAAGTTAAGGAATTAAGGGTTCAATAAATAATAACAATAATTAAGCTCGCTAGGCTGCAATCCAATGTAAGATGTCCGATTTCCGATGTCCGGAGACCGATTTCGGGTCCTTATGGCAGCAGGCAACCTCCTTGAGCTCCTCCAGCTCCTCCAGCTCCTTCAGCTCCTTCTACTCCTTCCACTCACGGCGTCTTTGGTAGCTGCTAATTGGCTAATCGCCGCCTCAGGAGCGGTAGAACGGCATGTGGGGCTGCACGTAGTTGTAGATCAGGGGTCGTCGGGCGGGGGTGGCTGTAACACGAGTTCCTCGTTAATCAGGCAAGTAATTTGTGGCCCTGGGCCACTTGTTTCTGTCGAGAGTGGGCGTGGCTTATTGAGGAGGGGACGTGAGGTGCACAGAGGCAATAAATTGCCAGGGGCCCAGACCAGGGTCAAGGGTCGACCAGTTCCCATTTATTTAAGGGGTTATTGGTCGTCGGAATGGGATATTCCACACCTGTATCTAACCATAATATAGCTTATGCATATAGCTTTTAAGTACATTTATTTTCCATGGCAGTGGATTATGCCTTATTACCTTCTTCGCAGTACCTTATAATTTACTTGTGTAGAAGGATAGATTTTTGGAACCCAAAGCAGCTGAAAAAATGCATCTTTTTACAGAGCAACAAATCTTTGAGCTTAACAGCTACACATTTTTACGTCACTACTACCAATCTAAGACATACATATTGCAAAAAATCTTCTGCTCCCAAGTTAAAAGTTCACCTTCATCATTAGAGTAACAGCACTCACTAAAATGTGTCCTTAATATATTACACTTCATTTGCCTAAATATTTTCAATTATCGGAAAAAAAAACATAATTTAAACTCATTAGAATAACAGCACTCACTAAAATGTGTCCTTAATATATTACACTTCATTTGCCTAAATATTTTCAGTTATCGGAAGAAAAACATAATTTAAACTACGTTTCCACCTAAAAATACTACTAACGTGTCCTTTTTATTATTACAACTCGGGAAACATTCCGTGTGACCCAAAAGTATTTTCCATACTTAATTTTCTATTTAAAAAATATTTATTTCAACCTAATCTTTCAATTAAGCGTTTTCGATATTTGAATTAGCCTCAGACTTTTTATAATTTTGTATATATAAAAACCTCTCCGAGGAATATAGTTCAGCAGTTCCCTACAGATGTATACTATAATTTTTGAGCTCTGTATAATATTCACAACCGCAAAAACCACATTTCTCAAAACTTTATGGTGCTTTCATTCAGAAATGACTAAAACCTCAAATGCAGAGCAAATTAAGTTCCCCAACTATTCGCTGCTGATGCAAAGAATAATTTCTACCTGAAAGTATGCAACACAAATTAAGAACCGTGCAAAAGACACCTTGTCGCAGGGAAAAGTGCTCTGCATTTGTGATATTCCCGTCTAGAATCCGCAACTCGTGTGTGCGTGCTGGGTGGCAAATGGAAGCAATAAGTACTCTGCTCATTCTTCGTCCTCATAGTCGTCCTGGATTGCGCCCTCGGCTGCAGCAGCTGCCACCGCCTCCGTATTCAGGGAATTAATCTGGGCCATGGAGTGGAGAGGGGGTGATGGGGACAGTAGTTCGGGGAGTAAAGGGACCCAACCCCCATCCCCGACTATCTGAAACATCGAGAGACTGGATCAACTTACACTTACTCTTCGCCATCCAGGCGTCCTCACGTTTGATCTTGTGTCCCAGGGCGCCGAGTCCTCCGAGGGCGGCCAGCACCTGTGTGTTGTTGCTCCCGTCGCTCGCCACCTGGGCGGAGTGCAGGTGGCTCTCGGCACTCAGGCTCTCCAGTCCCGGATGTCCGGGGTGCACTGGCAGCTGGCCCCCGCCGGCCATCGCCAGGTGGTGCAGCGATGCCGGGTACATTTCAGGAGAAATCTCCGCTCCATGAAGGGGGTAGTCCATTCCGTAGGGCATCATGTAGGGCGTCTGCTCGGGGAACTGGTACATCATCCTGTCGGCGAATAAACAAAAAAGGAAATAAGTTTTGTAAACATTTACCATGGAAATGCCTTTATACCTTTTGTTGCTTAATTAAACCTAATGTTCGGTGAAGCTCCCGAGCAACTGTTTGTATATTGAAAGCTTAAAGCATTTAATATTACTTAAAAATAATTTTAAAATTTAAATTCATTTAATTTACAACAAATATATTAAACGTTGCAGTTCAACTATTTGTATATTAAGCTGAAAACATTATTTATCCTGCACTACGAATTATTGTTTGTTTGTATTTCTTTTTCTAATAGAATTGTGTTTTTAAATTGAAAATAACTGGTAATTAAAAGCAGTCTTCATGCACTGAATTTGCTTTACAGCATTCACGTTAATATGCTAATGGCATAGAATTGATTTTCAAATTGGCAATCACAAGCTGTTTAAGTACTTCAAGTACTTATAGTATATTTTCAATATACTCACTTTTCGCTCGTCGCGTTCTCCATGAGCCTCCTGATCAGCACAATGGCGGCCACCACGAAGGCGATCTTGGAGAGGATCAGCGCCTTGAGGGTGAGGAGTCCCACCGCCTTGGCGGCCACCATCGTCCAGCCGAAAGTCGTGGCGGCGAGGTACATGGGAATGAACATCTGGAACTGCTTCTTGTCCTGGTGCTGGTGGCGCCTCCGTCCGCCGAGGGGTCCGCCTCCTCCCCCGTTGTCGCCGTTGCCGCCGCCCATCAAACCTCCTCCGTTGCCGTTGCCACCCAAGCCTCCTCCGCCGCCCAGCAGTCCTCCTCCTCCTCCTCCGCCTCCATTACCCTGCAGGCGACCTGTGGGAGCATTTGTGGAAGCAGAACACGTCTTAGGCTTTACGGCTTTAATGGCGCTCGTACGTATACGTAATAGTGCGACGCAGGATTTGATTGGCCCGCCCCACTCCTGCCACAGGATGCGCTATGATTGATGCCCTGCTGCCATGTATATCGAATGTCAGATTAAATAGGGGTAAGAAGTGGCAGTTTGGGCCGGCCAAAGTCATTGATATTCATTCGGTTTGGGATGTAGAGCTTGCGAAAGTTTTCCGGAAGTCTACACTCTTAGCAATTTAGACATATAACTTGCAGAAAAGTAGCTTTAAATATGTTCGGCAATCGAAGCAAATATCGGATAAAATAGAAAATGTTACCTTTAACAAATCTAAATTGCTGATTTATCATACTTGGAGGCTTAATTATTAAACCTGATTTTTCGCGAATTGAATAACGTACAAATTCTGTATTTAGTCAAAGCTAATTTTCCTGAATTGTTTTCATGTGGACTCCATTTTCCAGGGAAAGGACTAGGATGTTTTACCTAATACAAATATAACTATTTTAGTTTTTCTCCACAAGATTCAAAATGGCACTTATATTTTTTGGAAATGAACTTTTTTGAGTGTAGGCTCCTGTCAGAGTCTTGTTAGAGGTATCACAGCCAAGTGACGCCCACATGCGAGCGGAATGCCAAGCAGGAGCAGCTGGTTAAGCTCCTCCTAGAACGGATCAAATGGCGTAGCAAGGACGTTCGACACATGTCGCCCGCTGATTGGGACTCCCATTTCATTACCTGTTCCGCTGGAGGCCTTCTTCAACAGCGCCACCTCGATGTAATCGCTGTCGTCCTCGGCGCGCTGAACACTAAAGACCATGGGACCCACGGGCACCCTGATGACGTTCCCCGTGACGAAGTCCATGAAGGTGGAGAGGCCTCGGCCAGATCCCCACTTGTGCTTCCGCGAGGACTCCACCGCGGGCAACTTGACCAGGTCGAAGAGGCCCAGCTTGAGGGTCTCGCCGCGGCGGTAGGAGGCCAACATGCTGTTGGCCACGCCGTACAGACAGCTCGCGTTGTTGGCGCACTTCCAGCTGAGCTTGTCGAGGAGGTCCGTGTTCTCCACACTGGCCGCAGGATTGGCCTTCGGCTTGGGCTCGGGATCCACTCCCAGCGAGTTGGCACCACTGCGCTTGTGAATGGCCGCGAGGCTCATGTTCAGGCTGAAAGCCAGCAGAAGGCAGCTGGCAAGAAGGTGGCTCGGCATTTTAGCGTTTTTTTTTTTTTTGCGAATTTCGGTTTGGGGAAGCACTGCACTGCACACGACACTGGAAAAAGGACGAGAGCGCGGCGTATCCTTCACATGGATGCGAGTGGTCGCGATTCGATGGCAGCTGCTGCAGCGCCTTGTGGAGACTAATTACCAGCCGTTGCATGCAACTCAGTTTTATTGAAGCAGCGGCGGCAACGGCTTCACCAGCCGCTGCAACATTAGCAGCAGCATCCGACTAAGCTGCGTGCAGCACCACTGGCTGCACCGCCTCCATCGCATCCACCACCACCAACACCACCAACATAGCTCATTTCTGCTACAGTTTTGATTTCAAGTCAACCAGCTGAGTGACGGCCATCGCTCAGCGGGCAGTCTGCGGCATCGGAGCTACAAAGCTGTGAACACCGGAGCGTCAAGTGCGCACAGTGGTCCCAAACTGCTGTCGATGGATGCCATGTTCCACCATAAAGTCAAAATATAACACCCAGCTAACACATTTATTTAAATTTTAAGAAAATCTTCCCAGCAGAATAGTAGAACATCGACTAATTATCCAATCGTGGTATTGGGTTCTAAGTAGTGTCCACTCTTATTAAGCAAATCACAACTCAAAGTTTACTTTAGCTTTTATTTTTATTTACGAAAAATTCGTAATTATTAAAAGCATATTGGAGTGAAATTATCTGAAAACGTTATCGCATCGTTACTAAAATTTTGTATTCGACGAAAGGATGTTCTGCTTGCCAAATAAAAAATTGGCAAATTTTTTTAAGCTATTTATTAAATCGGTAAAAGTTTTTAATATTACTAAAGATACATTGTTTGCAATATTCTGTCCCACTGTAAATGCAAACGTAGCAGTCGTCAATTAGCATTGTTTTTCGTTTGTTTGCCTTTTCCAGCTGCACTCCCGAAAGTTCAGAGGGTGCTATAATTAGCAGTAATTTGATTAACCACATGACATTAGGGCTGAGCTTTGGCCCTCGCATACGTGGGCGTGCAGGTGGGCGGCTCTCTTGGATCTTGGCCAGGACCGAGCATTGTGGCCGAGACAGCGGCAGAATGGCGGCAAAGCCAGTGGCTTCAACGGCGTCCGCGGCATGTGGCCGCTGTACTAATGCGGCTAATTTACTGCTCATTAATTTGCCCGCAATTTGCTGAAAACAATTTTTGCAGGCAAAAGTAAAAGCCAAGTGCAGTTCGAGTACGAGTACAATTAACTTGAAACTTGCGGGGGGAGGAGGCAGGTGGTGGCGGTGGAAAAGTGGGAGGCTGGGGCGAAGATGTGGCCACGCCTCGCCGCCTGTACACAATAAATAAATAAATAATAAAAGAAAAGTGAAACGAACTATTAGCTCTCGTTTTTCATAAATCGCCGGCTCAGTTACATTCTGCTGAACAGCCGCAATCCGAGGGAAGGGGAAAGGGGTGGTGAAAAAGGTGGGGAAATGCAGTCAATAAAACACTTTTCGTCGGTGCATGATGAGCGGGACTAATAAATATTCACTTTTCCAGCCAGCCAGCTAAGCACGCAGGTGGGATCGGTAATTGTGGCCAATTTCGAGCCAGTGGCAATCAGACCTCGACCGTTCTTTTGCAGTGGCACCGATAGTTATCGACGATCCACGATCGACGATCGACGGCTTTATCTGTCTATCCACTAAAGATCCATCGAGAGTGTAATGACTGTAATCTGGATATCCGCGCCATTCGCAACTTGACACCATCGAGCGACAATGTTGCGAAAAGCGCAAGTAACGCGAGGCGGTTCGACAAGAAAGCCAACCGCTGGCAACCGCACCAAGATGGCCCAAGCCCGCAACAATGGCCAAGGCCGGGGCCAACAGCCCAGATGGACATCGAAAGGAAAGCGGTGACGCAGTCCGAAAGCGGTAATCCGACCCGGTTCAATCCAATCCATTTGGCCACCGCACTGCTCCAGTTTGTGTGCCTCTTCGCGCTTACGGGTGCCACAAAAGTTTAATGATCCTTGACTGCAACCGGATCCGCTGGGTGGGGTCCGGTCCAAAGGCCAGCGGCTTCTTCGCCGTAATTGGCTCTGATTTCAATATTTCGAGTGCACTTAGCTGAAACTAAAAGTGGCCATCGCCAATTTAATCATATTGCCAACCAAGCCAAAGGATTTTCACTTTTATCTAGCCACACATTTTAATCGAATTTTAACAAGACCGGACCCACTTAAGAATGCACTGGAATGCGCGCAAGGCATTGCTTTCGTTTCCGAAATCTAATCAAGAACTTCAACGAAAACAGACCAAAAACTTGGCAGCCGAAAAACTTGCTAGTTGAGCTGGCCCGATTGCTTGGCCACTTGTTAGAACCGAAAACTTTATCTTCTGCTGGGTGCAGCAATGTTCTTTGAACCGTGTAACAAAAGCACACTGGGAGAAATCTTAGCAGTTTTAAATGTAGTTTATATAAAATCTAACATGAACATTGGATAGATAAATGTTTAACCAAAACAATCACTTTATATACCGAATAATGAATTCTTGAATACGTTTAGTACGCTTTTCTGACATCAAATAAATTAATGTGAAAAAATACTTGTCAGTAATTATAATAGAAAAATTTAAAAAAAGTAGTTTACAAAGAAATAATTTATAATAAATGTCGTTACGGTTATATACTTTGGAAATATTCTAAAATGAATTTTTTTTTGTTTTTCGATAACATAATAACACATAATGTGTATTAATATATCTATAAAATGTTATTTAATAAAAAATCTTATGCTAACAATTAAAATTATCAGTTTAAGCATTAAATCTGTTGTTGCTGTTTGCTTCATTTTTCTCTCTGTTTTAAGTGCCCTTGCTTAAATTACTAATTTAACTCAGATTAAGTTGAAGCTTACTAAAGCCATTTTATTCCGAGTTGGATAATGCAGCAGAGCAATTGCTTGCACTTTGAAGCTGCTGAGAGTCTTTCATTCGGAGGGAACGCATTAAGAGCCATTAAGCTCAACTTGAGATATTGTCGTAGACGAAGAATGTATGAGCAAAAAACCTTGTTGTGTGCCATGGCTCTTAATATAACACATTTTTTTGATATGCAAGTGCCTTTTACCTCTAAATTGCAGGCTTCAAAGGATTTTATTCGGCCAAAGGAAGGTTTCATTTGCCATTTAAAGCAGCTTAGCGTTGTTAAATGGCAGCCTTTATCCGCTGAAAGAGCCGTGGACCCTACAGGAATTGTTCACCTTGATACTACATAATCCAGCCAGACCTAAAAAAGCAGACAAGTGGGTCTGGCAAACAGCTTGTCTGCGGATTGGAGCCATTCATCGCACGACGGCCAACGGATTTGTCAGGGCTGACAGCCAAATTGACTCTTTGGCAGTCAATCAAAGCGAATTGTCACGAGTCATGCGAGAAATGCAAGTCGCCTGGAAACAAGCGCAATTAAAGCCATTGCGAAGAGTAAAACACAATTGCTGGCCAATAACAATAATAATAATACTGTTTATTTTAAAGCCAATTACGTGACCATACATCCTCAGCTTTGAGCTGTTGTTGTTCAGCTGCCCGTGCTGATGTTGATTTTTCTGCGGCTTTTGCCTATGCTGCTGCTTTATTTTCACCGGCACGAATTTCGCTTGCGATTCAACCGCCGCCGCCTTGTTTATTTTCCTCGGCTGTTTTTCTCTCATTTCCAATCGATTGCCTGAGCCCAGCGACTCGTTTAATTTATTTTAATCTAATTGTTTTATAATTAAAACATACTTCTGTTTGATTTCACCTGTGCGTGTCGCAAGCTACAAACTTGCGGCTTCGGCTTGTCTCGGCTGGAAATGTTTCTGCAGTTGCCTCAGCTGCAGGGTGGTTTAAATAGTTGCCACTTATTGGCAGCCACGCCCACATTTTGCAGCTAAAATGCCGCAGGATATCGACCAGCAGTCGCTGACCGTGGTGATATGTTGTGGTCATTGATGTGTTGTGGCCATCGATGTGTTGTATACTTTGGGGCTTGCGAAAGTTCACACGATTTGTGGTAGTGTTTTGGGGGCCAGGCCAAAACAGTGGGACCTCGCATTGTGTTACTTATTGAACATTTTTTTCTTTGAAAATATAGAAGTTTATAAACAGGTTGGAGGAGTTTGGACCAATAAAAACTAACTACCACTTCTTTTATGCTAAAGGACTCTTTTTGAAATGTGCTTTTGAATTTTAGATCACTAGAGGCAATATTGTTTCTAACTATATATCAAAATTAATTTGCTTTTCTTGGTTCTGCATTATTTAATGGAAATATTCTTTTCCACTTTAAATATTTAAAATGTAAAAGTACTGATTTTGTGTTTGTCTTTAGGCAATAAAAAAAGAGCCAATAGTTTTCTGACAAAACTCTTGCGGATTGGAGGTTGTTTGGTTAAAAAACAAACGCACGGATCAATTTATTTCCTGTTTCTATATATATGATTAAATAATTTATTTCCTTTCATTCTTTAATACCAGCAAAGGCAAGATGACCCGAACTATCAGTTAGGTTTCTGTTGGACAAGCAGACCCACACCTGCTCACTCCCCCGACATTTTTAATCCCCAACTGCTGTCTCATTCAATCAGCTCGAATCCATATACCACAATGCACATTGCACATTGAATTGTGGTCTCAATTGAATGTGCGGCAAATGAGATTCTTTTAATGACGATGACGACGATGATGATGATGCGGCACAACAATCAATTATAACAAGTTGCCACAGAGCCAGATTCAGATACAGATACAGATACAGAGTCAGTTTCAGATTGAAGCTGGGGCAAACAACGGTTACAAAGGCCCCACTCAAACGAATCGAATCGAGCCTCAGCTGCTTTCCTCGGTTTAAAATCGGCGATTCGAGGCGGTGATGGAGCTCGAGATGGAGATGGAGATGGAGCTGATGATCTGCTGCCAGGGGGAGATACTTTCTTTTTATTGCCGACACCGACACAAGGCAAACGTAACGAGTTCAGATCAATTTTTGGTTGACTCGCTGCCAACTGGGCTCCATAACGTATGACTTGTTTTGTTGCCGCTGCTGCGGTGATGTGTTTAATTTTTTACATCGTTTGGGGTTTAAAAATTTCCAGAAAACATGTAAGTGTGAGCCCGGGTCCAGCGGTGCATGTGTGTGTGAGTGTGTGTGCTTGTGCGTGTGTTTGTATTGGACAACAATACGATAAATATAAAAATTAATACATTGAGAGTGAAAGTTATTGCTTTTGGAGCGCAGTCGATCATCATCGACATCAGCGCCGCTCGAATGATCATCACCAGCAGCTTGAAGACCGGGAGAGAAACAGCGATGATGACGAACGAAGCGGGATTTTGATGCGGCCAAGTTGATTTCTTTCGCCCGCCCGATGGACCCGGTCATGTTAACTTGATTAATAAGTTTGCTGGTATTACAAAATACCCAAAAACTGAGCCACTGCTTATGAAATCCACAGAAGACTGTTTGCCGTGTCTCTGTCTAATTGAGTTACGGCACCAAGTTGCACACGGATGGCTCTTCAATTTTTCGCCGGAGATTGGTAGTTATAACTATTGCACTGACTAATACCCTGGAAAGCTTAGTAACACCTAGCACTACCATCACAATTTCCTCAGAATTAACACAAAGAACGTATTTAATAAGTTAAAGACATGCAATGAAAGTGAAAGTGCTACTCATTGATTAAATGTCTATTAATGTCTTTAGTCATCGATAATTTTGCTTGAAGAAAATAATCTCATAATCATTGGAAACAAAAAGTGACATTTTTAAAATCAAATAATAAATTAAGCATCAATTATTAATTTTAGCACACATATGTTTATTTTATACATAATAATAACGTTGGAAATCACATTGTTAACTATTGCTGTAAAGATTTAAATTGTTTTTAAATTAGTGGGTGGAGCTTAACACTTTTAATTGGCATATTATCTAAAAAGAGACCATAGTGGTTGCCTTTGATAGTTTCAGCAAATATTCGATCCAAGGGGAATAGTCATTGTGTTTACCCAACTCGACTGCGAACCAACTCGCGTTAATATTCCGTATAGGATGAACGTTGTTTTTATAAGTGAGCACTGATGGAAATTTTTTTGGTCATCGGAAAATACCTGCTATTTTTGGGTAGCCAAAATGAGTTATATTTATAAAAATATTTTCTTTTTAACCTTTTTTATTTTTTATTGTTGCCGTGAGCAGCTTTACCCCAATAAATGTTGTGTTATTTCTGGCCTGATTTGTTTTCGAATGCTAATTGTATTACGGCCCCTGTTACGCATGAGGCACCCTTTTACCCCTTTGCACGGTCTGGCGACCCATTTTTATGGCCATTGCATGAGCTGGCCAACGCAAATTGCTACTAAACGTCTTCACCGCTCATTTTTCGGGCGGGGTAACTTTCGCTTTTTCGGCTGACACGCTTGCCAGTCGACTAATGGAGTTGTTTGGACGCGAGAGAGTCGTGTGAAGTGGAGTAGGAACAAGGTGTGGGCCAGGAACAAACCCGCAGCACTTTACCCACTTCTAATCTGTATAATTTGGCGGAGAGCCGCCGAGTTGAGTGAACCAGAGGCCAGCTTGTTGGTGAACGGGCGGCAGCCAAGCGCATCCCACGGCTGTCCGACCAACTGACCGTTGAAAATTGGAAAAATTGCAACGGCCAGTGAAGAAGAAAATTGCACGGCCAAGGTAAAAAGCAGAGAAACGCGATCTGAAAGCATTTTTCTTTCTTTCCAGAAGCGCCATTGTTTTAATTTACAATTGTGACAATTCGGCCGGGGATGCTTGACTGCCTCCCCTTTTTCCCCCCTGGGAAAGTTCCCCGGGGAAATGGCAACTATAAAATATGACAGGGCAATTGTCAAGGCTTTTAGTTGAACTTCAAGCGTTTTGTCAACATGTTCCGAGGTTTTCCGCTGCTCTGTCTGCTGCTCTTTTCGGTTGTCCGTTCGGAAAACTGCGATCAGGATACGGGAACCACTTTATATTGTCGCGGAGAACGGGCTCTGCGAAATGTCCTGCGGAACTTAAACCGAAGCGATAAACCCTTGGTTGTGGTTAGGGGACTTGAGATAGTTCCTCTACAGAACAATTCAGTCTTCGAAGAAGAACAGGAACAAGACCAGAGTCTGCTGGACAGTCTCTCCTTTTACTTGCGCACCCACGAAATCAATGTCAAGTTGGCCGATCTTCTAGAGGACGAAGCGCAAGTTTCAGGTGAGGGAAATTGACAATCAAGTGCCTTTAGAAAGCAATAACAATAATACAATTGAATTATGTTCACCATCACCAATTAAATTTCATTTTTCGAATAATATCTATCAGTGGCATAAATTAAATATTTGATTTAATTTATTTAACTTGAGATGTTTTTTTCCACGATTCTAAACTTCCAAAAATTGTTGTTAATAACATTAAAAGCAATTTTCAAATGTGAAAAATATTTATTCGGTGGTATCTTTTTTTACAGTTTCTGAAGGCTGACATTCCGCTTTCATTCTCTGTTTTATACAACATACTTTTTTTAAATTAGTTGTTTAGAAGTTTATGCCAACATGCGTTAGAATAAATTTTTAGAATACAAAAATTTTAATTTTGTTTTTAAAGCACAAAATCCGTGTCAAAAGAAACCGCTATAGTTCGGAATTTATTGCCAAAAAACAGTATAATTAGGAATGTATTTGCGTTGCTATGCAGTTTTCCCAGTAACCAAACCAAAAATGTTTTTTTGATTGCCTCTACAAACATTCAAACATGCACTCCATTCAACTTTTTGTAAACAAATCAGATCCCCATCAAAAGCAAATTATTAAACCCTCGTTTGAAAACTCTGACGCAATGCTTTGGCATGAAATATAATTTACACATTTGGGGGCCAAAACTCAGGACGCCGTGCCAAAAAGAACATAAACTACCGAGTTCCGATGTACTGACAGTAGTCATATGGTAATAAATCTGTTTTTGATTTTCCAGAGGCCCGCAAAAAGGACAAGGGTCAGGGGATGCTTTTGGCCATGGCTCTGATGTTCGGCAAGATGATGGCCGTGATGGGACTGGGCGGAATCGCTGCGCTGGCCATGAAGGCGCTGGGCGTGTCCTTGGTGGCCCTGATGATGGCCGGGCTGCTGGGCCTCAAGTCGGCCGCCCAACACGGTGGGGAGAGCAGCCACAGCATATCGTACGTGACCGGCGAGGGACACCATCACAAGCGGAGGCGCCGGGCGGCCGGTCAGCAAACCTTGGCCTACAGCGGCTGGAACTGAGCGACTGAATCCGCTGACGTGCATTTTGTTAGTTCTTGTGTAGCACTTAAGTAATTTAATAATTTATCCATCATGCAACAGATACAAGTTGTTTTCATCCCGGCTGCAATCGAATCGAGTGCACTGCCACTCGAGACGCTGCTGCCTCTCTGGGCAGCCAAGTTGCTATTGCCGATGTTGTTGATGTTTCTGCTGCTCGGATGCTTGGATGCTTGGATGCTGCTCTTCGGTTTATGAAATCGGTGAAAGTTTATTTGAGACGAGCTCGCATTGTGTAGCCACCAGCGTCCGCAGCAGCAGAAGGTAACCTACACAAAGCTTGGGAGGTTGTGTTTGTGGCTATACCCTGACACCTTGTCATATTCGATTTAGACTCCTACTGCAACCAACTGCGATTTGTTTCTAAAAGTTTGGGAAAACAATAATCATTGTGTTTTATATTCAACCCTTAAACTTTTTTTATTAGTAAAGAAAATTATACTTTGTAGAACTTTTTTTTTCATCAACATACTCAATAACAAACTGTAGTAGGTTTTCATGTTTGTTATTAGCTAAATATTAATGGTCTGAGTCAGTTTAAAAAACAAACCCAAGTTAAAATATGACAATTTGAAATATATATGTCACTAATATCACTGACAGTTTATTTTTTAGTTTCGGAAGAAAATAGAAGTAATAAAAAGTTCGAATTTAGTTTATTCAAGCCAACTAAAATTGCACCTAAGTTTAAATTAACTCATCATAGAGTATTGCTTATTCGCATTCCCCCAATCGAAAATCCCGCATTTCCTCCTTCTCGTTCATGGTGTCGTCATTTGTCAGCCCGCTTTCGTGCAGTGTTATCGATGAAGCCGAAAGATACCGGATATCAAATTCGGATACTCTCCATCTGTTCTCTGCTGATCTGCGCTTCAGATGGGGACCGAACTCTTGTTTTCCGTGGAATCTGGTACACGACCACAGGCACACCGAAACTAACTGGGCAGCTCACAGATTGAATTTGCATAATGCGTGGCCAACTTTCACTGGATTTTGGCAGCGCCAACGGTTCTTTTCGACCACCTAAAGGGCCGCTGGCAGCAGCAGCAACAAATTACAGCCATGGCAGACCCCGAAAAAAACAAGATGTGCGTTCTGTTACACAATACCATTAAGCCGCGGCACTCGAACGGCCAAGCGGCCAGCAGGGATACGGCCACCATTACCATTACCATTACCGCTGGCCAAGAGCAACTTGCTGTACCACATAGTACCCCTTTTCTCCGGCCTTCGGACCTTGTACCGCCGCCTAATTGCTCCGTCTACCGGTGGCCGCTGCCACTGCCGCAGTTGCTGCTTCTTTTGTTGAATCGCTGCTCTTCTGCTAACTTTCCCTTTTCAACGGCGTTTTACGAGCGCGTCTGCCGGCTGTAATTAAATTATAAAATAAGTTCATAAAGGCAAATTTGTTGCTTTACAATTCGTATATGATCTGCGGCTTTATATAAGAGCACACTTGCTCCGGAATTGATTTTCTAAACGGTGAGCTTTGATTTTTACAAGTCGGTTGACGGTTGACGGTTGACGACAATAAAAACTGGGAGGTTTATGGGTTTATGAGCACGACGGAGATGATGGGCAAGACGTGTGTGAATGCTGGAGCTCCAGCTCCAGCTTTAGCTCCAGTCCAGTGCATAAATGAAAGTTCATAAAGAAATTAGCTGATTAATCGTCGTTCGATGAGCTTGGAAAATGACCAGGCCGAGCCAAGCCCGCTTGTTGGATGGCTGGATGGCTGGCCGGCTGCTTGGATGACTGACTGAAAGTGTCACGCAGCCTACATTTCAGCCGCTGCCTCGAAAATTTCACTTTTCAATGATGCTGCGCGGCCGTCGTCCGTTTCACATGTAAATTAATATTTAACCCAAATACCGCAAATTCTTTATTTGAAATGCTTGCCGTATCGGTTACTGCTTCTCAGCTGTATACATAATCCCCTTTCCGGTATTATTATGCAAATTTCGTATTAATTCAAATGGCCGTAAAAGGGAAAATGTGTTCTATTAACTTGACATTTTTATGGTTTTGTGAAATCTCGAGTCTGCGGTGCGCTGCTTTACTTTTAGGGTGTGAGTTTCGTGGGTCTTTGGTCAACTTTACTTTTACTTATTAAATTATGCAGCGGCGATGCTAATCGGAAACGGAGAAGAGGAAAGTAATTAATGTTAACGGGTTGGGTTGGGTCCACCAAATAAAACGCTCCTTTAATCGCCCCAAAGCTGTTCGGCTTATGCTAAATTATCGTTGCATCATCGCTCTTCACTTTCCTTGATTCCTTGGCACCGTTCGGCAATTTGGATGCAAATATTTGCCATACATCCTTATACATACCATATTTATCTGTTGCCATGGCTGCTGTGCTGTGTTGTGCTGTGTGTAAATGGCTCACTTCTGACCACGACTTTCACCGAAACATTTTTGTTATTTATTCATTAAATTTTTGCCTCTGATGTTGCCCTGCGATGCCTCCGCGGATGCTTCTGCTGTTGTCCATTCTGGTTTTTGTTGCCGTTCAATAAAAACCCATACGCTAACATACCCACATACATGGCGTACACGAAATTCTTTTTGCATGACCACCGAAAAGAGATGAAAAAGCACGAAATTAAATGTAAAGTCAACACAAAAATTTTTTTAGCTTCGCCAATGCAAACACACCCACAAAGTGGCAATTGATTGGCGAAATACGAGCCGGGTGAAAAAAAGATGTCAGCAAGCAATGTGAAATTGTGCTACCAATTGGTCGAAACTTTTTGTTTTTTCCGCCGATTCGGTACGGTACTTCAAGCGCCCCGTTAAGTTATCAGGCAAGACGATCGCGAGAACTCAGTAATGCACGCCCTCGATGCTTTCGTCGCTTATGCAAATTGGCCAGAAAATAAAAGGAAAAAAACTTTCACGGCTAAGCCATTTGGCTTTAATTTAATTCAAATGGCTAGAAAAAGGGCCTCTCCGCTGATAAATAATACAGTAAAACTGCCTCTGTGTGGGACACAACGGTCATCATCACCGTCGCTCGTTCCACTAATGAGTCTCGGGCCCAAATTGATGTCAAGCAAAATGAAAGTGAGAATACGATGATATCTCCGCCGGGCCCAAAATAATCATCAATTTGGACGAGCGCTCCGATCTTCGATCTGCTGATTGAAGCCCACTCAGCCAATGGCCTAATAAGTAGTGTAATTATTGAGATTTTCTACGCGATGCTATTTGACTATCTTTCGGGGGCTTGTGACCAACTTTCTTAATACATTAAGGTTTTTTGTTGGCAAATATATAAGTTGACCGGATGAAAATGCAAGTAAAATGCATAGCAAATGCTTTTGGTTATTTACAGAGTAATAATACTTTAATATACATACAATATAACATTTTATGTGTGATTTTCTGAATTTTTTAATTACATATATTGAATTATAAATTATAGATTCTTAATTGAAAACGTTAAGATGAAATTCTTTACTTTTCTAAAACATTCCTAACTTTTCTCTTCAAAAGTAAATTCATTGAGAAACGGCTTTTGAACTTTGATCAACAACACAAAGAAGATTTAAAAATCCATTTTGTTTTTGCTATAGATTTTCTTGCGAAACAGAAAAGCTTATTTGGCTTTTAAATCTTCTTTCGAACCAGGCAACCTGATTTGCATGAAGCAAAGGACTTAAGCTTATATTTATTTATATAATATATATTAAAAACTTTCGGCTCTTGACTCCACATCCTTAATACGTAAGGTTGTTAGGCTAAAATTTGTTTTTGCACACCCACAACTATATATTTGAATATGAATAGTTCGCAGTTGATATGGCAAACAAAAGCTAACCCCAGGACACCACTCCATCTGAATGCTTAAATAAGGTAGCTATGTTCTCCTTTTTTCGTGGGGACAAAGGGTTTCTAAATTGCCTGTTATGCGCAACAACAGGACAGCCAACCTACAATCGCCCTTTATCTTTGGTTACTAAGCTTACCTTTATATTCGGAAAAGCGAAAAATAAAATGAAAAACGAAAACTGTGTGTACTTTTATGGCCAAATGGGTTTACGTCGGGCAAGTGGCTGATGTAATATGCCAGCAGCACAAGTTGTACATTGTTTTACTCTTTTCGGAGCGTTTCGAGACACTTGCGATTTGTTTACCCAGCTCTGTGACAGCCATAAACAATAACAGCAACACCCAAACAACAGCAGCAACATTTACAACAGCAACATGAACAACAACGGCAACATCAACTACTGGCCAAGTCCAACTACGAGCGAAATTCATTCATAAAAAGCACACACATTGGACACTTGGACGGCTGCTTTTCGCATGAATGGCCAAGCCTGTTGGCCATGCTCTTGGCCATCGGACGTTGGACGTTGGCCGTTTGGTAGTTGGGAGTTGGTAGTTCGTAGTTTGGAAGTGGGCACATGCCAGCCGACAAATGGAGGCGTTCACACTCGGCGCGTGAACCAACATAAAGTCAGCCGTTAAGACGGATGTGCAGCGGCATTCGGATTTGCATTTCTTGCTCAGTTTTTGCACCTCTGAACCCATTTGCATTCGAATGTATGCCGATATTTGGGGACCGAAGAAAACGGAAAGCGGACTTTCAGCTTAAATATCGGATCATCGCTTGTTGTGATTTTCTCCACTGGGAGGGAGGCTGCACCCATTTTGCAGGCGATGTTGCGTTACGAAATGCTTTACACTTTTACCACTGCACGCCTATCTCGCTCGATTGACGTCACACGATCAACTGAAAGCTGATTTAATTGTGGTAGCAAATTACACATACGCCCCATTGCCCATGGACAATTTGGCACCCATTATGCGGATGATTCAGGCGTTTCGTAAGCTGCACGGCAGCAGATCCGTTTGATAGTGTCGGATGTCGTCAGTCACAGACATTCACCTTGAAACGGGAGCTCGGAACTTTCCGAGAAACCGACCATCCACCCAAGTACACCTAAAAAAATTTAGCAATTAACTGTTGTTGAAGGAGGAAACTAGGAAGAAAATAACGCTATATAGATGTATTTACCTACACTTTATTAAT